TTGTTAAAGATTCTCCCCTGCAAGAAAATTGTCGAAATGTTTAAAGAAGTGATAGTCAGTTGGGTGAGATATGATGGGTGAGACAGAGTTTCATGGAGCTTCATAGCTCAATGAATTAATTCTCCCCTGCAGCGTCGTTGTGCGGCGTTGTCGAGCATTGTTGTAGAACAATTGGATCTTTTCTGTTGACCAACACCGAACGCAAACTTGTCAGTTTCCTGATGCATTTTGTCAATTCTTGACAGTACCTCTCTCCCGTAATAATTCCACCCGAATTTAAAAAGCTTATAGTAAATTATCTCGGCTGACATTTACCAAATAGTCACCATAATCTTCTTCTAATACAATTTTAGTTTCGGAGAGCGTTTTGGCGCACCATCATGGTCTAACCATTGTGCAAAACGTCGACGATTATCGTACAAGAACCATTTTTCATCACACGTTACAATGCGATCAAGAGACGGATTATTCTGTTTGTGCAAAATCAGTGCAGAACATACTTCAAAGTGATGATTCTTTTGATTTTCGCTCAATTGATGCGGCATTCATTTGTCTAGGTTTTTTGTTTTCCAGTTCGTTCCAAGTAATCAGAAACAGGTGACTTGTTTACGCCAAGTTTTCCGCTAGTTTTTGAATCGATGTGCGTGACTCTGTTTCAACTAACACCTTCAAGTGGTCGTCGTCAATAATCGCAGTCGTCCAGAACTTTTCAACTTCAAGACTCTCCACTGAAATTTACGGAAATCACTATTGCATTGTACGTTCATTAGCGGTTCCTGGACCAAATGCATCGTTAATATTGAGCGCCTTCAGTTGCTTTACTTACGCCTCATTTTGAATTTATATAAAAAAATCGTAGAATTTGCGATTTTATCATTCTTAATTTCATAGTTTAAATAAAACGGAAACCAATATCAAAACACAGTTATTTTCATTAAAATGTAGAGCGAAATTTGCGCTTTTACATTGATATAATATAAATACAAAAGAAAGACAACATGAAAAAAGCGTCAAATATTAAATAACAAAAATCGCAATAACTTTCTGGGCAATAATAAACTGGACTAATAATAAACGATTAGATATGTTTCTCCTCTCATTGTGCTTCATACAATATAACTTATTTTTTAAAATATATTCAAATAATATATTCAAATAATTTAAAAATAGAGAAAAGATATGTAAATTTTTTCTAATTATATAGTTACCTGTAAAGAATAAGTCCCAAATTTATAATGCTTTCGTTTTGAAAATCCGGAAGTGCAATATGATTTATTTCCCAAGTTTGATTCAAACGTTTCCATTTATCGAACATGTACGTTGTTATATTTTCAGCAAATTGATGTGCAAATTCGCAGTGCATTCTACACCACATATTAACTCTGACACCTTCATTTGTACCAGGCATAAAAGATAAATTAATTCGGTTGAGAAATAGTAGATAAATAGGCTTTACAAACGTATAAAAATATGTCTTCATCATGTTTTATCATTCCTTTCTGTTGTTTGTATCAGTGGACTTAATAAAACTTTATAGTTTTGATAATGTTCGATAATAATATTGTAGTTGGGATTATAATATGGCATTCTGCTTAAAGATTCGGGCAAAGACGGAATCATGTGTTGGATCCCAATATGATTAACATACGTTGCAAACCTATCACATTCAGAAATATGAATTAACAATAATAAAAGACACCGCAATACCTGATGCAAAAGTGGTTTCAATGAAATTGTATAAAAGTTGTATATATTTTAGTTGTGCGGGATTCGTTAAATGTCTATTTTAGAATATACAGATACAAAATAAATATTTAATAATTAATATTTTAGTATCAAAATTTTAATGCGTTTAATAAAATTAAAATAAATTTCAATATAAAATAGTATTGGAATAATAGCTTTATTAAATTGATTTTAATTGATATGTTATCAACGATTTTGTACATAATTTTATACAAGTGAAAGAAACTGCTTATTTTAGTGTTAGTTTATTAAATGAAACACATATGTATATATGTCTTAGTTATTAGTAAAAGTAGTAATATTTTTAAATAATATGGGTGTGTGTAAATACACGTTTAAATACATGAAACAGCATAAGTGTAGTTTATATATACAGGGTGTTTCATTTTAATCCGACCACCTAAATTTCTCGGAACCTAAGCAAGATAGAGAAAAATATTTTAGACAAAAGTTGTATGGTTTCAAGGGGGACATAAGATGGTATCATTAATTTGATCTTGAAGAGCCACCTGAAGGACACGTGAAGGTCAGCTCCAACTTTTTAAATGGGACACCCTATATGCTTTTGCATATTCTTGTAGTTCATCTCAAGAGCTTTTCAAAACACTATAATTAAGTTAGTTTTCATTAAGTACTTTCCAAGTTATGAGGCTTGAAATCATTTTTTAATTTTACATAAACCGTAAAATATCTTGTAAAATATTCATTTTTCGATTATTTTACCTTAATACTTTTATGTACAAAATAATGAGAAGAATCAATTGGTGTAAAGAAAACTCATAGTTGTTTCGAAAAAAAATATGTAATTTGCAATTAACAATTACATATTTTTTCTTAAAAATAACTATGTCTTTTCTTTACACCAATTGATTCCTCTCATTATTTTGTACATAAAAGTATTAAGGTAAAATAATCGAAAAATGAATATTTTACAAGATATTTTACGGTTTATGTAAAATTAAAAAATGATTTCAAGCCTCATAACTTGGAAAGTACTTAATAAAAACTAACTTAATTATAGTGTTTTGAAAAGCTCTTGAGATGAGCTACAAGAATATGCAAAAGCATATAGGGTGCCCCATTTAAAAAGTTGGAGTTGTCCTTCAGGTGGCTCTTCAAGATCAAACTAATGACACCATCTTATGTCCCCCTTGAAACCATACAACTTTTGTCTAAAACATTTTTCTCTATCTTGCTTAGATTCCGAGAAATTTAAATGATAGGATTAAAATGAAACACCCTGTATAATTGTATGTATTATATGCAGAGTGTTTATGAAAGTTGTATTATGTAAGTGTTTATGATCTAATCAAATTTTGATAATGACTTTTATGAACTATAAGGATAAAAAAAATTTATATAAACATGTGTTTTGAAATGTTTTCCTTCTAAATTATAGACTGTTTTAAATATTAGAAATGAATTTCCTAAAATTTGATATTGTCAAAATAAACAGTGTAAAACTTAAGTGTTTGTTCAAAATTTCAATTTTCATATAAGCAAGTTTTATAAAAATATAAATCCTTCAAAATCTACTTATATTTTGAAAACAATTCAAACCTCTACCGGAATATTTGATTTCGTTCGAGTGTTGACAATAAAATGCTGTATAAGACGTGTATTATTGCTGCCTACTTTAATTAAATTAATTTTTATTTGGAGCTTACATTCATTTTAATAATAATGATAATATTAAATTGCAAAATTTTTTACAAAAAGATGATTTAAGAAACATATAATTAAGAATGGAAACATTTCAAATACGTACGTGTCTATGTATAAATGTGTTTTTCTTAGAAAATACTTTTTAAATAGAAAAATGATTTACCAGGGCTTGATCATAAACATCGTGAAATTACTATATATTTAACATTTTAACAGTTACTTACCATTGTCGCTCATCTCTTTTATAAAAGGTTTTTAGGCCTGTATCTTCAGTTATATTATAAACTAATTTTATGTTGTAATACCCTGGCAATAGATCATTAGGGAATATAAATTTGACAATGTTTTTCTCAACATCATACATAAATTTTACCGATGTATAAATGATCTCTTCTTGAGTATCATTTTTAAAATATGAAGAATAAAACATAGTTAGATTAATATTTTTTACGTGTAAATAATACAATAATATGCTTGATGTTGGATGTTTAATCTCTGTACGTATAATGCAGTTACAGACAAGAATATTTTCTTCGATATGTGTAACGATGATATCATAACGATGCGGAAATATATAATTTGAATGCCTGTTTAACTCTTCCTGAGTTATTTTAATTATCTCGTCGGTTAAAAAAGCCGCAGCGACGATGATAGTTAAACTGCTGCTTAACAATAGTTTAAGAAACATGATACTACTTTTATCTTAGATATCTGTAAAAATATATTTTTGTTAGAAAGTACAAACGGACAAATTAGACACAGCACTGTCTCTACCATGATTTAATGGAAAAAAGATGGAATTAAGACAAATATATAAAAATAAACTTAATTTTGAATAACTTACTCTGTATAATGAGATATACTACAATTTCTAAGCAAGTGTATGTTTCGTTACAATAATTAGCTGCAATAAATTAATGTTTTATCCACTATCATTGTAACATGAAAGATATACATGCGCACTTGTGATTTCTTATTATTTCGAGAAACTTCCAAAGACTAATAACACTTGGCGATATTACAATAAATGTGTATGCCATATGTAAACACACAACTTCTGAGGTCGTTAACAGACGTTTCGATCGAGAAATGATATGTAATAGCAAAGCACGGTGCCGTTCTTCCCACTCCAAATTCGTGCTAGCGATCGAGCGCTGTAAGATGGCAGAACAGTTTATTTCGCGTAGGTCTAAAGCATAAGAGGCCGTTATGTAGAATGCAAAAATATCTGTAAATATATATATTTGAATTCTTTTATACTGTTTAAAAGTAGTATATTCCTACCAAAAATTTGATAATTTTTACAATTATCAATATACATTCAAATAAAATTTTATTAACTATATTATTACAAGTTTGTATCGGTAAATTATCTTTAAGCAAATTAATAAAAAAACGTAAATTATTAACACTAGAATATAATATTACAGTATTGTATATAAGAGAATATAATAAATTTTTTATGTTGTTGTTCACTCTTTCAAATTTATATGGTGGATATATAACTAAAACGACGAAAAATCGTTCTAATCGATCAAATCAATAATCGTGTTTTTCTCACAAAATAGATTTTTAAATTAAAATTAAGAAAGGTTTTTTATAATGTGGAATAAAAATATTATAGAGATAGCGTACTCCAAGAATTATGCCATATCATTTATTATTAAATTAAAAATATTAATACTATATTAATAAACCACATTCGTAAAAAATACTTTTTATAGGATTTAAAATATTAATAACATATGTTAATATAACTATTTGTTAATTTGTTAATATTTATATATAAATATATTTAAATATTAATTATATGTACAGTATTTTACAATATTAATTAAACATATAATATTTTATTATGTACAACATTCATAAGAATTTTACATTATATTAAAATTATATTCTATATCTGTAATATTATCCTCTATTAAATCATATATATATATATATATATATATATATATATTACATATTAATATATTGTACATTTATTAATTTATGTGTATTAGCAAGTAATAATTAATGCAGTACTAATATACATATGTTGATATGTTAACATAATAAAAACTTTAGAGATGTTAAAATAAATAAATATTAAGATGTAATTTTATAGTTATTGTGTTACTATATTAATAATTCAGAATTCAGCTTATTTTTGTAATGTTAACAAAATATATTAATCTACGTATTAAAAAATAACTTTCTCTCATTTGTATAATTAATAGTACAATTTAAATATCTCAGATTTGCAGAACGATAAGAAATTCTGTAATTATGCTTGTATTATAAAGTATTCTTATAATACAAACGCATCGGGTATCATTGCAGGATAATTTAAGTCCTATCCAGTATAATTAAAATCCTAAGACGTTAAAACGCATTTTTTTTATTTTGTTTATTACTCAGGATCATGATGTTGACCTGACATATCAAGATCAAAATCAATAGTAGAAAGTAAATATAAATATTTATTAGAATTATTATTAAAATTATACCAGCAGAAAATTCTAATTAGATAAATATCATTAACTCCAAGTAAATTTAAATGTTAAATGGAAATGTTACATACTTTTTCAGCACGATTATAACCGTGATAAAATAAGACTTCCGTCTATTATATTATCTCCGGAACGAACTTGACTTAGTTAAGAAATATATGACGTTATTTGTGTTGATTGCAGGTAACTCTTATGACAGCTTATGTCCGCTGCGTAGGTGTACTTCGATAAAGGAGGAGGTGAAATGATGCCAATGTATGCGAAGTTATAGGTGTCAGATCATGGGACAAAGACTGGATCAAGTTTAATGGAACATGGATAGAGTAATACTGGATTCTTACTTTCATGTCTTCGCAGCTTATAAATCGCACATACATTTGCGCGAGCAAACATGCGACGCGTTTACGCTTACAGAGTATAGCTCTTAATAGTACGCGAAGAAACGCTTTTTAGTTGATTTATATATATAAAATATCAAAAATATTTTAAGCACAATTGCTCTTGCTTAAATAATAACACTTATTATATCTAATTACACTTCTAATATGGTCCACATTTGTGCTCTTGACTCCAATATTCGAACAGAGATAATTCGAAAACAGGAAGAAATTACTGTAATATTTAATTTTGCTTAGAAAATATCTTTTATTCATCAATATAAGATCTCTTGGAAGGAATTAAATGTGTTTTATATAAGATCATCAAATTCTTCAGAGCTTATTTCTCGAATTTAATAATATGGAGAGTTCTTATAGAAAAATGCTTTCCTCTGTTCTCTATTTTTACATTTTTTACTCGTGTTTGAAGCATCTTTATTCCATCGTTATCTTTAGCGGACGGATAAATTATTTTTCCTTTCGCTGCGAAAGGAGAAAGCTGAGGTTTACAAATATCATACCAGAGAAAAAAAAATGTATTAATTGTGCCATTAATTATTCAAGTACGTAACATTCTATATTCTCCTAATTGATTTCTGTCGTACGGACAATCTTTTTTTTCATTGACATTCATTAGGTATCGCCGATATCGCGGAAGATAAGGATCGGAAATAATTTCTCTTAGAGCCGAAAATTTCTGCTAGCGCGGAGATAGGCACGAGATAAATTTTAACATATCGATGAGTTTTGTTTCCTTTGCATATGTATCAATTATGCCTGATTCCATCGGATACACTATTCTATTATATTTGCGTTTCTTGGATTTCTAAATAATATAATTCAAAATTTAATACAAAATAACTTATTACATGGAATAATTTATCACACGAAATTGTCTAAAATATATGTATAAAATAAAATTTACTAAAAATTTTTACATAGAATAGAATTTAATAAGTTTTATATAACGTAAATAATCGTGATCAAAAGAGTCATGATTAAAATTATTGATCGTTTCTTCGATTGTAAAAGAAAGTATTTGCATTACTGGCGCATTTTGTATAGATTATCAAAGGAAATATTCAAAATGAATAAATAGAATAAACTTCGAAATCAAGAATTAAATTACTAAGTAAATCGTGATTTAAAATTTGCGAGAACACGCGACGAATAAATAAATCTACAATAATCGATTGCGAGATACGCATAATTTTTATAATATAATAATCGAAACCATCAATAGACACGCGTGCGATATAATTATTACACAAATGATGACAAACGAAGATATTTTGGCAAACATTTGTGGTCCGTATTGTTTAATTACATAAATTTCACTGTCCGATTTATTTGCGATTAATATACGCGACTTTATATGAATTTCACGATTGAAAATAAAACACATATCCTAATTCGCGCATGATTAGCTGAATAAGATGAAATGAGCTCTATAAGTTTAAAATATAATTAAAAATCGCGTTATGGCTACGTTTAATAGAAGGTAACGGGACGAATGATTTTCAAAGTCCCTCTAATAATAGATGTAATTGTAGAGTTTAATAAGATTTAAATAAAGAAGAAATAAAGAATCACGTTTAAAACAGTTATTAATAAAGTTATCGATCGTCTGTCATATTATAGAAGAAAATATTTTCACTACCAGCATTTTGCACGAACTATAAAAAACAATATTCAAAGACGTGGAAAGATAAACAAAGCTTTAATGTATAAGTCAACAATTAAATTATAAGATAAATCGCGATTTAAAATTCGCGATAAAACGCAATGAATAAATAAATCGATAATATTCAAAATATTCAATTGCAGATACGCAAGTGACATACCGGTAATCCGATAAAAAAAGGAGCGATCTTAAAAATGGAGAACGATTAACATCTTGATTTTACATTAGATTTTGCAAGATCAATCTGCGACGAAAAGTTAAGTGATCCATTGAACGTCGGGAACTTCACTGTAGGAGGGAACGAATCCTGAATCTTCCGGACTATTCTCGATAGCAATGATTTCAGTAATAATTTAACGACAATTATTTCTCGTCATTATCTTCAATACACGAAATTGATGCACATCAAAAAACATGTTCTTCCATTATTAAGAAATATACTTCTTTATTGAAAATTAAATGAATATAATGATCTTTTTTATTGAAATGATATATGATTACAAAGAATTATAAATTATAAAATTTTATAAATAATATTTATAAATAATAAAATACATGCATTGGAGTTTGTATAAAATTTTATAAATAATATTTATAAATAATAAAATACATTGGAGTTTGTGTTAAATGTGCGAACACATATAATTTGGGGTACCGTTTGCGCGCGCGAGACTAATCGAATCCGATATCAGCAAGATTTTAAAAAATTTCAATTCGGACAGTGTGCAAAATAAAATAAATCAAATAATTTTAATCAATTAATTCTGGATTAATTCTCTAGATTCTTATTCTTATTACGTTTAAATTAATAATTTCTTTTCTTTTAATATCCTCCAATATCTTACTGATATAGGGATACCCATTCGATTTGTCTCGAAATTTTTAAGTATTCGCACATTTTATGTAACATTCATGTATTGTATAATTTCGCGTATATATAATATATAACATTATTAAAAATTATAAAAATAATTTGGATACATGATCTTGTGCATGTATTTTATTATACATATATGTATATATATAATGGTATATATCTAAAAACTAATATTTCAAAATGGCGATGGATGTTCAACACCTGCAAATAGTTTCTTAAAATAAACTAAAAATTAATGTTAATATCCCTAGCATCTAGAAATAATTTTTCAAAAGAGACAAATTATATTAAATAAAAATATATTTGATCGTAATCATTTTTATCAAAAAACTTATACAAATTAATTACAATATAAAATTACTTGAAAAATTCAACTTTATACACAACGCTATATATCCATATTTAATTTACTATTAAATCTTTTTGACATTATATATATAAACAATAATAATACCAATTCTAATAATAATAGAACATTTTTAACGAAGAAAAGAAAAGATTTCAAGAAGACATTTCTCTCATCTAAATATATATTATTTAATTTAATTTGACGTTAAAGAAGTGTATTGTCGTTGAATTACTACCGAAATCATTGCTTTCGGAAATTGCCAGGAAAACCTGAGATTAGTTCCTTCAACCTTACAATAAAAATTCCCAATTTTCAACAGGGCACCGAACTAGACGTTGCGAATGGATCTCACAAGAATCGGTGAGAAATAATTCTCCGAAAACGATAATAAATCGTTTCGACTCCTCGGCGGTACTCGTACGAGCCACGCAACTTTCATTAAATTTTACTTAACAGAAAAAACAATGATAACTTTTTTATTAAAACAATCTCGTCTAAAAACGCGAGAAAGAACGCGATAAAAACACGGTGTTTTCGCAACGATAATTTATTAATTATTAATTTATTTATTATTTATGAATATTTTCCAATACGAAAAAAAAATTTGTAAATACAAATATAACTGAAAAAACAAATTATTAAATCCATAATAATTAACTCGTGATTCTATAATATCGAAGATGATCGAAAATTAAAATTTGCGAAACTAATATTTAATCGTTGACTTATCATATCGAATCTTCACTTTCTTTTATTCGACATTTCTTTATATTTAATTAGCAATATTTAGAAATATTATCTGACGAGAGGGACAGCGATAAAATTTTTCTGTTAAAATGATAATCTTGTATGAGGACGCGAAGAGAACGCGGAAAGAACACGGTATTTTCGGAATCTTAATTTAATAATTTATTTTAAGAATATTCAGTTCTGTGCGATATGGAATTCATAAATAAATAAAGCTAACGGATATCGTATTACTTAACAATCTAAATGTAATTTGCATTATGAAAGAACACGAAGTAAAACAATTGAATTATAGATGCATATAATTAACGTAACGAAATGATCCGTGATAAATTGTTTAATTAATAATCAATAAAAATTAGAGTATTTCTGCTATTTAATATTTCGCGTTAGTATATTTTATATGTATATTTATATGTATATTTTATATGTATATTGTTAGTATATTTTATATGTATATTTATATGTATATTTTATATGTATATTTTATAACATATCAAATATTTCAACGAATTATCGATGACACTGTGTTCGACTTTGACATTATAAAATATAAACAATAGCACATTATACGTTACGACTTTGTCATTATTCGCACGATGACTCTCGAGTAATAAAATAGTGATGAGAAACGCTTCGTATATTGTAATTTTTGTAATAAACACAATTACAATTAGTATCGAAACATAATTTGCTATAAATATTAATAATTAAAAATTAATTAACTTTTGATAAACGATATGAAACTGTATATCGCAACGATAAATCTTTATCGAATCGTAATCATTCATTACCGCGAATAAAAATTGAAACAGAGGATACATAAAAGGGGACAAGAAGAGAATTATATATATATTATGATCTTTTGATCATCGATGCTTATTATAATATTTCTTTAACAATATTAGAATTAAATATTTCGACCAAAGCTTTAAATTTTCTCAATCCTGGTTAACTAAACAATATACAATTTAATCGAAAATTGATTTAATGTGAAGAAATCCGAGATATTAAATAATTACCTCGATGTTTGCAAACTTTACGGACAATAATTATTATTTTAATACTTAGAGTCACAAATATATTCCATCCGTGTTACTTTATCACTTTACTTGACAATCTAAATATAATTTGGGGGGAAGGGATTGTGAGAAAACACGAAGTAAAATAATCGAATTATAAATGCAAATAATTAGCATAACAAAAAACTTTAATATCAATAGTTTGATAAATAGTTTAATAAATAATCAATTAATCTTAATCAATAAATTAAACTATTTCTATAATTTAATATTCCTCACGCAAATATTTTATAATAAAGAAAATATTTCGGCAACGAGAGACTTATCAATAACACCGTGTTCGACCTTGATAAACAGTATCGCGCTATTGTTAATATGTGACGTGGCTTTATCATTGGCACAGTGGCTTTGAGTAGTGACGTGAGAGACGTTTCACATATTATCAAATTCTTTTTTTACATAGTCAACCTTGGCGATATAAACAGTAACTCGGTAATGTTTCTAACTTACGATCATTCGCTCAGTGGCTCTTGAGCAGTGAAGCAGTGATGTGAGATGTATCATATATTATTAAATTCTTTCTTTGTACACAATTGCAAATGCAACGAGGAATTTTTCGCGAATGAATGTAAGTGCAACGAGGAATTCAAATGAGTACTACGAGGATTGAAGTGCGACGAGGAAAAAGCAAAGAAAACAAAAGAAAAAAGGAGGTTTTGGAAATGGATGGACCAATGAGATATGATGTAAGTCATTAATAAGATGATGTAAGTCATAAATTATTTATCACATTCATTATTTATTATATTGTTGCGTCCTGTCCCGTCCTGTTGTATTCGTCACTCGTTGAATTCTTTTGAAGAAGATAGTTTCCGCGCACGTTGTCAAGGTATTGTTAAAACAACGATTGGCAAAATGTCTGAGCCCAGCTGTCAAGTTTTGCGAACTCGTGTCCATTTTACGATTATTCTGAATTCTTGTATGTTACTCGCGATTTATTAAAATTCTTGTGCATCTTAAATTGTGTTATTATTTACGAGTGCACGAACGTCAGTGTATGCCGATTGTGTCGCGCACGTTCGATATATATCGTTCCACGGATGCAATAATATATAAATCAATTATCAATAGTATATTCAAAATATACATATTTCTCGTTTCGTTTTACTTCTTTGATAGTGATTCAATAGTGATTTTAAATTGTAACATATTTAATACATATACTTATAAAAAATATTCGGTTTTATTTTAAAATAATTAAAACTTTTATAAAATTTTTTATTAATTAATATTTTCAGATACTTCTTATATTTTATAAAACATTTCATATTAATATATTTATTATATTAAATATTACATATATAAACAAATATAAATTTGTTTATTTATCATATTTTTAAAATTTATATGTATAAAAAATATAAATTATTTTATAATTACGCGATTTATAACATTAAAATATATTTATTTAAAAATTAATTGCACGCAATAATTAGTTTTAAAATCAATTATTTTGAACATTGCTTTATATAATAATAAATTTTCTCATATCTTTTATATTTTTATTTATTGTTTATTTGCGAATTAAAATTTATATAGTATAATACAAAATTATTATATATTATATTATATATAAAATATATATAATATAACCCTCCCATGGGGTACACCTTGTCGCGGTGGGAAGGCTTAGTACTTGGATGGTGCCTTGAGGTTTATTTTAAATTTTTCAATTTATGATAAATCTTAAAGTGCCTGAATAGGAAGCTAAGTACCCTTTCGCGTCGTCGGTGCCGTCAACGTGCCGCGGATGGCAAGCGTTTCGTCAATGCGTCGCGTTTTAACTTTTCGCCTAAATTTCAGTTTTGAATTAAAAAGCGGCAAATGTTTTTCAACCATTTCTTAACAGCATTAAAAAAAACTAAGATAAATAAAAAGTTTAGTTCTATTTCAATGATAAGTTCTATTTCAATTATAAAGATACACTTACCGTTTTGAGAATTACATAGAGATTTTGTTGTTCGGTCAAATCCAGTTAATTCAAAATATTCTCTTGCGTTGACTCGAGTGTAATAACATTTAACAGCGCTGAATCGGAATGCAATATGTCACTAAATAAAATACATATACACGATCAATATCATAGCATCGATCAATAGAGTGATTTTTATTCAATAAAAAATTTAAAAAATGAACGATGTAAGAATTTTGCGACGTATTATCGAAAAAAATAAGTATAAAAGTAAAAGTGAGATAAATACGACTGCTCGTAATAGTTAATTATTTTATGTTACAATAAATCTTTATTCTATTAACGATTTTCTTTAATTAGCGATGAAGGAAGTAAAGAAATAACATTATCGTCTTATTAATATATTCATAACGTATTTCCAAAAATACATATTGTAGAAGGTAAATTACCGAAATGCAATATATAAATCTAATAATTGTGTATAGGACAAGACAAGTGAAAAATAACTGGGAATTAAATGTTTCTAAATTAGTTGTTCCATCTACGATTTATAAAAACAATGCTCCCGAATCTTTAAACGCTTAATAAACATTTTTGGATATTGTAAATAATACTAAGATATTATAAGTTTACATTTCATTGAATGAACGATTACAATCATCAATATTACCGAAGATTTAGCGTGTAACATTTATCTTTAATTTTGATTGCTGACAATATTATTTCACTGATGTAATGTTGTTTGGATTTTTTCTTCTCATGATCTTGAGAATCCTGTCGTATACGAGTTTTGACGCATCTTTAGCCAATATGAAATCCACGTGATTGAATTTGGACCACGGCACTTCGTACATATCCACTACATTGGGCAGTGAATGGCACAATCTTTTTATATCCTTGAAGAAATATTTTTGTGAGCTATCGTATGCAATTTCTTTTAAATTACCTCCCCAATCAAATAATTTAAAATTCGATTTATATATAGTCAAGTGATTCCTTACTACATATACATTTCCATTATTTAAATAAATACCTATTTTCCATTGCATACCTCTGTGCTGATTATCCAGTTATTATCGTAAAACAACGCGACTGATACTGTAATATTCGATAAATCATAATTCGGTGGTTCTGTAGAATTATAGATAAACAGATTTTTCATGCGACCGTAATCGTATTTACGAAACTTGCCCGATTCAAATATTTGGGCGTAATGCAGTAGCGTTTTAACAGAGGCGCTTGTTGGATAGTGATTCAAGATGACAGGCAGCAGAGACTATAACAATAAGTAGAAAATAATAATGATATATGCGCGAAGTTCGGTCTGAAGCGTGATCGCGCGATCGTGAAACGATGGGATGCGATGATCGAAAATTCGATCGGAGTTGTATTTCGGCTGTAAATCATTACTTACATAGCTAAACTGCTTGGGATCATCACCTACAAGCATAAACAGCAAATTGAAATAGATGATCTTTGCGATGATGTTATCATTGCATATATTTCTCGCCAAAAATCTCACAATGTCGCTTTGTAAGAATTCACCGTGGAAGAGCAATTGCATCGGTATCTGTAATTGAAAATCTCTTAATCGTGAAGTAATTTATTTGTAATTCTTCTTTCTTCGAGAATTTTAACGGTTTTCAAAATGAATTTATAAATGTTTAACAAATTTTTTTAACAATTTAAATTAATTTTAATAAAAGCTTCAAGAGATATTTTAATTTTAACTCGTCCAAGGTATCTTAAAATTGAAACCAAAAAATTGAATATGGACAGTAAACAAACATGAAAAGAGATGTAAATTTGTTAACGTTTAGAATTAAAATTGTAATAGACAATGAAATATAAATTAGAAATGCAATAGATTCTTTTTTTTACAAAATTTCCGAAGATTTTAATACTTTTATTCTATTTTACTAGGAATTTGTTTCATTCTGATTGATAAAATAAGAATTGAAATAGTACATTAAGTCAATAACATAAAAAAATATAAGCAATAAATAACCACATCGATTAATCACAGTCTAGTATTTTTTTATAAATCGATTATTAGATTTAAGTAGTAAAGTAGTTAATCAGCAATATTAGGTTAATTGTTACTAACATTATATTGTTTATGTTATTTTATGTGTCATAACATTTAACTTCTAACGCTGTTAATATTATTTTTCATTCTTCAGATTTTCTTTATCTGTAAAACAAAAAATATAAAAATGTACTTTATTTTTTTATACTTTTTTAACTGTTATTATGTAACAATAACTTATATATCCTTTAACACTTATATCACCATTGTACTTTACCTTTAATTCCCTTATAAATGGGAAGAAGTATTGAATCGGACTCTTCATGTAGTTCATAAAGACTGCTGGCGCGAGACCGACCATCATTTGCACCATTTGAGCGATTTTCGGACGCTCTGATGCCATTATAAAAAAACTAGTTGCGCCCATAGAATGACCAATAGATGTGTGCAATGGTTGGGATCTCATATTCGTGATATATGTAATCATCGCGGGTAAATCATAGATGCCCATTTCGTGAAAGTTAATGAAAAATTCATTTATATATCGTAAAATATATAAATATAAACACGATCACACATACACATGTATAGAGAAAATAAATATATTACATACATATGTATATGATATATAAAGTATTCTGTAAAAGCAGAAATTATTATAGAATTTTGCACAAAGAATGACTTAAGACAAAAATCAAGACAAATAGCAAATGCATTGTATTGGCTAGAGAATAAAAGATGAGATATCTTGAAAACAATGCATTTTCGAAAAAAAAATATATGTATAATAAGTTAAACAAATCCTTGCGTCAAATTAAAACAAATATTTGTCAAAATTATTATTATTTTATTTTTAATACTCCTATTACTCCTATTTTATACTAGTATTTTATTTTATATTATTTTATACTTGAAATTCCAAAATGTCGAAGTTGAAGGAGACAGGGAAATATGCGCCTTCGAGTATATATTACCTCGAACATTTCCCAACCAAACATCGTATCCCTGATCCGCTAATAGGTAAGCTAAAATTTAAAAAAAATTGTGTGTTTTTTACAATATTTATCATATTATTTACAATTTCATGTATCATACATATAACATGAACTTTTAATTTTTTGGCATTTTTGTGTAGAAAGAAATTAGTGTTATGATAACGGTTGTGCGATACATGTATGAGTTTAATTGACGATCATACCGAATGCTTTGCCTTTGCCAAGAAAAAGCCAGACAGCGGAGGTGATAGAAAGACCATGCTGCAGCAGCACGGGTAAAGAATCATTGCCACTTGGGATACGATGTAACGTCAAGAGATAGCCGTCTTCTGTCATTACAACGTGAGATTCCACAAGATAACCCGCTTTTCTTATCATCTCCGGCTGAAAAAAGACTGTGTAAAAAAGAGGAAATACTGATCTGAACTTGCAATAAATTTGAGTAACAAGAAATGCGTAATATATTTATTTTCATAGGCATAGGCATGTAATCATACATATTTTACGTTTTTTTACATAAAAACAAATAAAAATAAATTCGACGTTAATTAATTAAGTATTAATAATTAAATATTAAATCAACTCTCCAAAAGCAACAAACATATATAAAAATACTATTCTATGTATTTTTAAAGACTATGATATAATATAATTTTGCAGAACAATGCGATTTTTGTTCTGAATAAGAGAACGCGGCCAATAACAGCAGATTACTTTTTATCAACATTACACACTTTCAACAACATTAAAGAAATTAATCGAAACATTAAAGATTTTGATCCTCATTTCTATGAATAAAAACATTCATTACCGTGTCGTGAATGGAATCAGGATTGAATTCGATGTTGAACTGATTCCAATTAGTCCATATTATTCTCCTAATAAGCATACTTATCTGAGAGATCACATTTATTGGAGCCGCATTAAGATAACTACAAAACGATAGCAAATACATGAGCCTGATCAATTTCATATCATCCAGGAATGATTCAATAAATAGTGAAAGAAAACGGATAATTCGAGAGTTTTTCGGAGTATCGAGATATATATCGTTGAAAATAAAGCAGAACACGGGAAAACGATATAGATGCTATATCGCGACACAGATACTAACTGCTTTTTACACGTTGTGTACCATTATATAAAATGAATCGTCATTTTATTTATGATTATTTTTTATCAGCTAGAAAAGAAGAATAAAAAAAGAAGAATAGAAAAGAAGAACAAAAAAGAAGAATAAAAAAAAGAGGTAATTATGAACTTTACGGATGACCTCCGATTTCAATGATCTTGACATGTGTTGTCAAGCTCACTCTCCCGAGTATGTGTCAAAAGGTTTTAAGTGTCGCTTACTATTTATTAAAAAGTTATTAACGAAACAAGTTTAATGAATATAATATGATTTTGCCAAGGTATATTTGATGGAATATATGTTTAATAAATAGCGAGGGTCATCATTAAATGTAGAGTAAACTTTGTTTTGTGTTGCAAAATACCCATACGGCACAGAAATATTGCAGCAACATTGCAGAAATATTTCTTTGCAAAATTGCAACATTGCAGAAATGTTGCAAAATGTTGCTACAACATTGCTGCAATATTGCAGCAACGGTAAAATGTCCGCTTGTAGAAATATTGCAATGCAACATTGCAGCAATATTACGGTGCAACGTATTTATAATATTAAAACGCGTTTTGCTATAAATGCAGACACCGTTTTAAATTTAATAAATAAACTTTGAAAATATAAAAAAATGTTTAAGAAAGATAGGAAAAAATGTCTTTAAAAAAACATCTATTAGTGTTTTTATTAGTGTTTAGATTAGTGTTTCTATTAGTGTTTAGATGTTTCTTAAATATTTATCTTAATAATATTACATACAATTATTTTACATACATTCGACACCAGAATATTTTAATGCGTGCAATAAATGAATTATTTCCTATTTACCCCATTCAATTAAAAAAAAATCTGTTTAATATTCTAAAACCTAACCCAATGAAGGATCCAGATTATTAAACAAATTATTTGTTATTATTTTTAACACATGTACATTTTGGCTATGTTAAAACGTTGCTGCAATATTGCCAAAGTAATATTACAAAATAATATCTCTGCATTATTTCTGCAACATTACACTGCAGTGAGCAATATTGTAACATTGCAGCAATGTTGATGCAAGCTTCTGTGCTGTATGGGTATTCTCCATAAAATAAAATGTTTTGTTAATTGAAACTTTTTTCAACAAAGTTTGAAAATTTCTTGTAAATAACATTTAACATAGGAATGTAATCTTATTTTAATGTATCGAGAATTAATTATAAAATTAAAAAAGTTGCTTTATATATTATTCTCTGTAAAATAAAATTTGTTTTGTTAATTGAAATCTTTTTCTACAAGGTTTGAGAATTTCTTGTAAATAATATTTCGCATAGGAATGTAATCTTATTTTAATGTATCGAGAACTAACTAAAATTAAAAGTCGTATTTTATAAATATTTTTTCATTTATTCGCATGTATCCATGTGGTGCATCGGCCATATTAGAATTCCTCTATTTGATTATTTTTGAAATAATCCACTATGATTGGTTAATTTGCTTACGACTTGCGACGTTACGATACGACCAATGTAGATCCGGCTTTAGGCCGAATCCACAATAGATAATTTAAGCCCTAAGCCTAGAAATTGACCAATCACAGTCGAGTATTCTCTTCATACTTGACTGTGATTGATCAATCTCTTAAGGCTTAAGACTTAAATTACTTATTGTAGACTCGGCCTAACCTTTGGTCCACCATCTTGCTTTAACTGACGGAATCATAAGAAACTAACCAATCGTATTTAATTATTCTTCTCACATTCAACTATGGTTAGTTAATTTTTTACGACTCAATGAAAATAAAATGATGGACCAAGGGTTATGGCCGAAGTATGAACGAGAACCCTCTAGTTCCGTAAGAAATAAATAAATAATAAAGAAATAAAAAAATAGAAATAAAAGAAGAAGAAGAGAACTCCGTGCTTTGCGTGAGTAGAGAGAATAAAAACCGTTGCATCTGTAATCTGACAGTGATATGGCTCTGACATTGATGTGTTTTAATTTGTAGATTTAAGATTTATGCAAGATTTATCATTTAAAAAAATCAAGAAGAACAGGATTTTGAGTCCGCTCCCTGGCAGTGTGGACTAGCCGGTCCAAAAAATTAAAGAAGAAGATTTGTAGGCTTTACTTAACGTGCATAATGGGTTGTTTTACGGCAGAAGAATATACAGATATGATTATCTGTTATGGGATGGCTGGGGAAAATGCCGCTGCAGCGATGCGTTTGTACGCAGAACGATTTCCCAATCGTAAGCGGCATCCGTCAAGCTCTACCATATTGCATTGTATTCATCGAGTAAGAGAAACAGGACTTCTCGGATCGAAACGATATTTTGATACACCGTTCCACCGTGACAAAACTATCGACAAAAGAGTTCTGCGAGAGCTTGAGAAAAAACCAAGGAATGTATGCCGCATAGCTCGTACACTCGGTATAACGCGAACCATGGTATATAACATTTTAAAAGAGAATGATTTGCATTCAGTAACATCAGATTCCGACTCCGAGTAGCATGTAGTTACATCGAAGAGAAAAACGTATTAATTTTTGACTTCTCTCTCGAATAATTATGAGAGTCAAAGTTCCTCAAAGTTTCTGAACTGGCGAGTTGGCGATCTTTATTATCAATCACCTCTTATAGACTATTATGCAGCGTTATATATTACTATACATTTTTATATTCTATAATATCTAATATTACATACAGAAATCTAATATTATATTCTTTATACAAATAAAACATTACCAGTCTTCGGAGGAATGATTGTGATTGGTGAGTGACATTTAATAATCTATCTCAGGAACGACCAACTCGTACTAGAGATCCTATAATAAGAGTCTTGCTATTGGTTGATGCGCTCACACATGCTCATGACAGTCACAATGTACAACGTTGTAAAATATATTAGAAAATATATTAGAAAAAGTTAAATAATTAATGCAGCATCGTTTTGTAACTCTAGCTGAAGGATATATCATGAAGATAATAATTTAATAAATGTTCTGTGATGTATAAAATATATTTTAATTAATTTTTTATAATGTATACAATGTTTTAATTACAATATTTTGTAATACAAAAAAATATTTCAATCAATGTTTTGCATGTTTAATTTCTTTTATTTTGTTTTATTTTTTTTTCTTCATTTTATTAATCTTTATATGCTGTTACTAAATACTAAAGATTACATGTAAGAAATTTCCTATTATATTTTTTATATATATTATATATATATATATATATATATATATATATAACATTTTATATTTATATTTTATATTTTAATATATTACATCAAATGATCATATTCCAAGGGGCCAATACTCGACCGTGATTGATCAATTTCCTTACTCTTGCATGCTTATGGAATTTTATGTGTGATGGCCATTTCGCAAGTTACGTCGCATGTGATGGCACCTTTATGAATAGTTTTTTTTAGTTTGGCAGTCTTGAAACATATAACATAAGAAACGTCAAATGCGCGTGGCTGTCATTTGAGCAAATGTAAACAAATTAAAATATCGTAATTGCATTAATATTGTCTAAAAAGAAATAGCTGTCAGCTGTTATCGAATAAAAATGTATTAGATTGTGAGTGATAGTCTGGAAAGAGACAATACTTATCATCACTGTTGAAAGTTGTATAAAATATCTCTGATATTTATACAATATTTTAATCAATTTAATTACAACAATCATTTCAGTGATCGGTGTAATAAATTTACTGCTTATAATTATTAAATTAATATTAAAACAGCGATAAAATAACAAGTGGCTGAAGCATAACCTTCCATCTGTTACGTTAAATAGTGCACGCGATGGCAAGTGTCCCGAGTTTTACGTTAGAAACTGCGAAAGGTAGATGGAATTTTAACAGTTTATTTTAAAATCATATATTATAGCTGAAAATTATATCAATATATAAGCAAACATTTCTTGTTTTTTTTACAGCTATATTGACAGATATTCTGACAGCATTAAATACACCAGAGAACTTGCAAAAGATTACAGAGGCAAAGGAAAATTCCGGCAACGAAATGTTGAAAATGATGCAGTTTGTGTTTCCATTAGTGACGCAGATTCAAATGGATGTCATAAAAAATTACGGTTTTCCAGAAGGAAGAGAAGGTGCGTATTTATATGAAAATATATATATCGATAAAATTGAATAAGAATTAATTATTGTGTGTATACAAAACAGGAACTGTACAATTTGCACAGCTCATTAGAGCTTTAGAGAGAGAAGATGCCGAAGTAGCACAATTACATAGTCAAGTCCGTTCATATTTCCTTCCACCGGTTACAATAAATTCTTCGACTGAAGCGTCTCTCTAGAAGAACAGTTGAATCATATTTATACATAAATTATTATGATAGGAAAAATCTTTGCGTACATATATTAATTTATTTCAAAACTATTTCAACAGCATAAATAAGAATAACTTATACAAATTGAGAAAATTATCACATGCATTTCTAGGAAAACAAATAATAGATTTTATGTTTCTATATCGAAATATATGTTTCGATATAGAAACAAAATCTATTATTTGCTTTTTAAAGTCTATCATTTGATTTTATTATTATTTCTTATGATTTTATATTGATATATTATGTTTCACTTCTCGTTTGTTATATGTATTTTTTTAATATTTTAACAAATTAATTATATATATATATATATAAAATTATTTGATCATTACTTAATGTTAAACTTATATATATTATTCTAGTAAGGGTATTTGTGTAAAGATAAATAACATTTTTTTTATGAAAGGAGTAATAAGAATATTGTAATGTTCTTTCCCCATTTCATTACAGAATACTTTTAAATACTTCTGCTTAAATATAGATTCCAACTAATATAAGTATAAATTCGTATATACACATTTCCTTCTGTTGAAAATAAAATTCCAAGAAATTTTAAATATTTAATTTAGAGAAGAGAAAACTTAAAAATTTTGTATATTTATTTGTATAATATTAATAAGTATATCATATAATCTACTAAAATATATAATATTTATTTATATAAATGTTCTTTGAATTTTTTTGCTATTACATCTTAGCTCTAAAAACTAAATATATTCCACTGTTCGCACAGAGATGAAGTGTTGTGAGTATATCATGATTTATATATCTTTATTAAAATAAATAAAATAAATAAAGATATAATTATAAAAAGAAAGATATAAACGAAATCGAAAGATATGTAGAATACTGTGACTTTTTTATATATTCAATAGGCACAATGGCTAATAAATCATTTGTATTTCCAAATCTCGAAAAACAAATTGTATAATCAAATTTTCACTCATTATATGTATCATACATTTTAACTTCATATTCTGGCGAACAGCTGGATAAATACATATTAAATATACAATTTCACTCATATAAGCAAGTATATTAAAATTGCATAAAACCAACAGAAATTATAGATTTAACGATAAATAATACATTGGAATTATTTTCTTGACATTTACTTAGAACAGTTCGTGCAACTTGATTTACTTGGGTAGAGATAAGCGAATATAGTCCCCCTTTGTCAATCTTGTATAGTTGAAAAAGTTCTTTGTATAAAACTGTAAAATGCATCATTTTTTTGAAGAAAAAGATGCTGAGGTCATATAAGAAAAAATTCATTTTATTTGAAACAATATTATAATCTTCATTTATCCCTGAGTGGATATATTAAGAAACAAATATTCTATAATCAGAAGAGTATCGGTGATGTAACTGATAAATAATTTAAAAAAACGAATAGCTCAGCAAATTTTTCTGCAAAGGCAGAAAACCCGAACAATAATATTGAAAAAAATCAGCTTTAATATCATTAAAAGCTTAAATAAAAATTAATTAATAATTTTCTATATTTTCTAAGGGCACTATACAAATACTTGACAAATGAGAACGATATGCTATATAATATTATGTACATTTCCTATATAAATCAAGATCTGTCTATAATTTGTCTTATGCATAAAGAAAAGAAGATTCATATTTTCGAGTCATTCGTGTTTAAAAAAAAAACATGATAGCAAATAGGCAAGAACATCTTGTAAATTTGTTATAAATTTATCTTACAAATAATTTCATTTTTATGACTTTGGGTGTTGATGCAAACGGTTAAATTGCAAAAAAACTTTAGAAATAACGCATTGTTATTTCAATTCATTTAAATATCAATGATTCTCGAATAGACACACTTATTATCGTTTTTTTTTTTTTTTTTCAATTTGATTCTTTCGCTATGCCAAATTTGCATAAAATATGTCTCATGATCGATTAAAACCCAAAATCGAGAGATAATAAAAATAATGCAGTTTTTTTTCATTAGTACTTATGTGTCGTTAGCGTGAATGCTACTTTCACAGTTGCATTTTCATTTAAATGTGCCTTGGTGTGTCATAGGTCGCAGTAAGTAATTTGTAGAAATGATTGACTATACAGTATATGATTGGCTATGTAAGAAAATTGCGTACACTTTGCAACATATTAGCTGCCTCTTGAATTACGGATTCTTTTTTGAGAAAGCAAGCCACAACATTGATTTGTTTATAATCGACACATTTTAAGCGTATAACAGCGAACGGAATTATGTTCGATATATAATAGTGCTTTTGCAAATTACGATTACAGTCTCACGATCTCGTTTTGTTGGGTTTTTTTTTTTTTTTTTACTATAGAAAACGTGTGTACAAATATAAAACGCATAAACTGATCTCAACGCCAGCGTTACGTTACATTCTCTCCCAGCAGCAAAAATGATATTGCCGAGCAATCTTCCTTCGAATCAATTCATACACATAGAAAATATAGATTATATAGAGAAAGGAGTGTATATATATAAAATCCAGTCGCCACCTTGGGATCGTTTAAGCGTTTTGAGTTAAAACATGATTTATGTATTGTATCTCTTTTAATCACCCAATTTTCTTAACTACGCGTATGCCACACTCTACTTGTTAGTGTTGTTTAGGTGATTACTCCACGATAAACTTTAAAAAGCGAGTAATACATGCAAAAAAGGAAAAAACTTGTATAACGAATATAAGTGTGTTGCAATAATATAATCCATCGAAAAGTAATGCTTGAAGTTATTGATAAAATATTCATCAATGAAAATGCTTTCTTTGTCTCACATTGATCTTATTTGCGTCTCTCCATGCATAATTGCTATATAATTAAAATCATGTTTTGCCGTTGTAACCGAAATCTATACCGTACATAGTTACATGTAGAATTGCAAACCACGTCTCGTAAATCGCAATAACTATGAAGCTTTCGATTAATCGATCAGGCTACGAGAGGAACGGATTAGCCACAGAAGTTGTATTCGCTGTCCATGGATCCTGTCGAATCTGATTGATTGAAGGACGGGGTGGTGGAGTCACAGTTGCAAATGGATTTGCTGCGTATGACACAGTTGCTGCAAATATATTCATATTGACTATTAATGTACAATAATTTTTGATACTCATTATGAAAATTTGTTTCAGGCATTTAAACGTTTTTTTTTAATGTATCAATATTCAAGATTTTTATCAATATCTTGAATGAAAATAACAAATGTCATTTTGTAAAAGTACAAAAAGGAATAAATATTTTATATTTATACGTAAAATATAAAATTTTCCATTTTTTGCTTTTCATTGTTATATTGGTTATTCCTAATTTTACATATTTTTAATATATTCTTCAATCTTTAAGTTTGTCTAATTATTATAGTTTAATATATATTGTCTCATTTTATATTAATAGATATATTTTAGAGGAAAGAAAAATATGTATAATTACAGAAATTAAGAATATATATATCTAAAATTAAACTTAAACTTATCTGTAATGAAAAAGAATTTTATTTTATTAAAACATTATATATTCAAAGAAAGATCTAAATCACAGTACTCTCTTAATTTAAAAAAGAATAACAGATTGGAACAATATATAAAATACATCATTATATATAACAAGCATAGTAAATTATATTGCATATAATAATCATGCAACCATGCTATACTCTTAATCATATTATTCATACTCACAAATTTATTTCCAATGAAATGCTATTTGCAGACATAGGGTATGTTACAGAATAAAATATATTTTCCATGAGAGGGAGAGTTATATTATTATTGTATTATTTGATGAATATTATTTGATGAATATTATTTTAATTAGGTTTTAATGTGGAATATATTAAAAAATATATATGTTTTTGAGACCAATAAAACTCTCTGTATCTTCATTTTGAATACTGGACTTTTCTTTCTCGATATTTATACGTTCTACTTATACGAAATGTGCGACTAAAAGTTTACCTGCAGGCGTGGGAGCCGTAGGTTTAATTGCCGAAGCACTAACAAGGTTGTCCAAATTAACGAGCGCCGAGTTCTCCCCTAAAAAGGATTGTGGTGTCTTCTTTACAGCACCAGTACTAGCAGAAAGATTTTCAGCCATGCTTTCCAGATCAAAAGGGTCCCCTGATGTTGTAGTAGCACCTATTCAATTATATAATATTTTATATAATATTTAAATTATATAATATTTTTATAATTAATTATTTTTATAATTAATTATATAATATAATATTTTTTAAATTATATAATATTTTCAATTATATAATTTTAATGAAGAATTATTGGAAAAAGTTGCATGATTTAATAATTCAAATACCATTATTAACCGTCTGTGGACTGGCTCCGAGTTTTCCCCTGTTGGTAATCACATCAAATTCGTCTAAATCGCTAAGCGGACTCGTCGCGGCGGCAGTACCGTTGTTTTGAGTGGAAAAATTATTAAAACCTGGTCCTGTGCCATTAAAACCATTGGTAGTAGTACTAAAAGTGGTAACCGAAGACACCGGCGGCAAATTGAATCCTATATTCTGAGGCGATTGCGCGGCAAAGCCGATATTCTGTGTCAAGGTTGAATTGTTGAAAGCTGGTGATGAGGATGTTATGTCATCTTGAGCTGCCTGTGATAAAAAAATTTCACAGATGAGTATTTATGAATCGTGGAACTCCAATTAAAGAACAAATTTATATTACCTGCACTTTGCTTGTCTCCGATTCATTAGTACCAGCAGCGAATACTGGTGACCAAGGATCGTTTATGCGAGGAGGGGATACGACTGTAGCAGGAGACGGAGCAGGTGCACGCCATGGATCGATAGCGGCCGCTAGAATTAAAAATGATAATTTCTGTAATCGATTATTCAAAGTGATTCGTTCATCAAAAATAAAGAGTAAATATATTTTCCATAAAAATTCAATTTTCTTTAATTTTATTAAATTTCATTAAATATATTTTCCATAAAAATTCAATTCAAATACAATTTTGCTAAAACGTGAAAAGAAAATTATAAATTAATATTGTTAATTTATATCTAACCTGAAGATCCTGAGATCATTATCCAAAATCATTAAAGATGTAAGAACATGCAAAAAGAATAAAAATACGAGAATTAAATAAAAGTTTATAATTTAATCATATCTAGAATCTTCTTTGCCAGGATAATGAGACTCACTTGGTCGTTGTGGAGGAACGGGCGTCCACGGATCTACCGCAGGTGACGCGCTACTCGTTGTTGGAACGCTCCATGGGTCATTCTGCGGCTGTAAAACAAGAATATATTCAAGAATAAATTCAATTATTTTATAAAGATATTATTTTATCTCACACATACACGCACATATACACGTTACTTTAAATACACTGTCCTCTAACATTCATCAAGGACATACCTTGTACTCATAAAACTCAGATAAATCCAAAGACTGTGGTGCGTCATGCAAAAACGATCTCGTATTATCATGCAAAGTGCAATCGTTTAATTTTAAGACTGGCTGGAATAATGAACAGGTACCTGTGGTTTTGGTGGTGTTACCGGGATACCCCAAGGATCAGTTTGTACTGAAGGACCGCTCGCTTCCCCAAGATTTACATCGAGTAAATCAAGCATATGACTTTGCTTTTCGGATTGCGGAGTTCTGAAATTCGTGGCATTGATACATAAATGTAAAATCGACTGTTCCTTCGTATCGAATTATTAGATTGTACTGGAAATTTTGATTTATGATTACTCACTTAAAATCTTGCTGACTCTGACTGAGAGCTAACTGCAATCTAACATCGTCACTGCGTCTTCTTTGCTCCTCCTGCTCCGCTTCCTCTCTGGACATAGCCAAGGCCAGCTGTAGTTGTAACTCTTCTTCGCCTACCGTTTGCGGTCTAGCGGCTTCCAGTTCCGCTGAAAGATAAATTTATTGTATTAATTTTTGTATAAAGCAAAGCAGTTCTATTTATCGCACATAATTTTTATAAGTAAGTAGTTTCTGTTTATCATACTTATAAAAAGAAATATAGGCATGTAAAGGGGAATATGTAAGATATGATAAGAAAAACTAGGGCAGATACAAGAATTCTCATAACAATCTTAATTTTAAAGATAAAAGATTAATTCTGAGATAATAAAAGAATTAATATTTATATGTTAAAAAAACTTACTTGCACGTCTAGTCGATAAATCGGATAAGTGACAAGGTTCCCAATCTTGAAACTGGAACAAAATAATATTGCATGAATTATAAATTAAAATTTTAGATAGTTAATCGAAATAATATTTATGGAGAATATATTACTTACATCACTACTAACAGGTGACATAGTATCTAAACCATCACTTCCAAAGCCACTAACTGATTGTGCGAATCTCTCCTTTGCTTTCAATGCTCTAGCTCGCTCATTTCTCAATCTCTCGTCATCTTTTAATAAGGCCACTAATTGTTTTGCTTTTTCCCTCACGTTAATTCCTTGATCTTTATGCCCATCCATATATTGAAAATCTATGCAAAAACGATTGAATTGTGTTAGAAAGATATGCCTTTAAAACATTATTATTCTTAATTGTTTTATTTATGTTTTAATTTATTAATCTACAGATTTTTAATGCAAATTTTATTAATCTACAAATTTTTAAATATTCAATAATATATCGAATATGTGAAAAAAATACATTCAATAATTTCATATATTATAAAATAAGATTTCAGTATTTGTTACCTTTTAAGGTTTGAATGGCAAAAATATTCTCTTTGCACTGCTGCGCTACCTTTTCACTTCCCGTTTTAATAAGGTATTCTAAGAGAACTAGGGCTTTATATACGTGTCGCCAGTTTTTCCCATGATCATTTAATCTTTTCCATAGCATTTGCATAATTTCCGTAAATGCTACAACATTGTATGTTAAGTCAGCAATTTCCGCCATAAGTGTACTGCTTGGACCCCATGGATCATTGCTGGTAGCTTTTCGTACAGCTTTCTATATAAGAGAATAATCAATTAATCAAGTAATCAATTAATCAAGTTATTAATCAAATTTTGTGTGATATCCAAAATTTTTATATATTTAGATTTAATTCATTTTTTTTTCAACTTTAAATAATAGTTACTTTGAAAAGTTTCGTTATCATTTTTACATATTAAGAATGAAGAATATCGAATAACATAAATTTTATTAATTACCTGAGCATTGCTGTAGTTATGGGCAAGATTCATAATATCTCGCCTGATTCCTGCCAGATTCACCTGCATGACGTCTTGACCTTGTCTTCTCATCTAAAATGTTATCGCTGTATGTTATTCAATTGTAGTATTATGTATCTTACTCCCAGAAACCCATATTTATTATCACATTCAAATGCAAAAAGTACAACACCATATGTTATATCAGACATTTGAAAGTAAAATTTTTTATGGAATTTATAATATAGAGAGAGAGTTTTGTAAATCTACTTTAATTAATTTCTAAGGTAAATATGCAATTTTTATATAATTTTACATAATTTTTTATATAATTTTTATATAACAATAGCAGATAATAAATACAAATCAATTATGATGTGAGTAACATCTGATAATAAATATGGGTATTTTACTTATATGAAAGCCATGCAACTAAGTATGCGTTATTTCATACACTACAAAACCAGTAATATATATTATATATTAAAATCATACTTTTTAGTATAAGGAATAGAAATATAGAAATTATATAGAAATTAATTAACAGTAGAAAGTGTTTAGAGTTTAAAGCATGCAAAAAAATTAAGTTGATACCAAACCAAAAGATTAAAAGAATATATAATTTGTATTATATTATCATATATATATTTTTTCAAAAAAAGATTAACTATAAAAGATTAATTAATAAATACGATTGTGTGTATGCATTTACACTATTAGTGTAATCATTACTTTACTTTGTGTATTAAATATAATTTAAATGTGATTCACGGTGCAATTAAATATTACTTTATTAATAATTATATATCGAATAAAATGTACAATTAAAAGGGGATTACTTGAATAAAATGATTCCATACACTACTAAATAAATATAATAGAGAAATAAAAACAAAATATATACACAAAGCACTTTTAATTATAAATTATATTTTTACTTTAGAATCTGCACTTTTCAAACGTATAATTCGCTTCATAAATTTTCCAATGATCTATTAATAATATATTTAAAAATATATTTAAAAATATATATGCTTACGTACTTGGCCTAGAAATATAAAAAAAGTGTTGTCGAGAGCGTTTTGAGATCAAAACAAATCCATCTATAATGTTTCTTTGAATTTATATTATTTCAAGAAAATTTTCTCTGAGATGTGCCTATAATATAATTTAATTATCGTCATTTAACTCTTGTCTTTTCACATAAGTGTTACTTAGAGGATTATATGGAATACAGGCAAGATGTAAAATCAAAACCGAGTCCAAATAGTTATATAACAATATTTAATGCAATACTGACTTGCATAATGTACATTTGTCATTATCAGTTTCATTACCTATCATCATTATGATATTTATTCTGCTGGTAAATGCTGTAAATCGATATAGGTGCGCCATATACATATAACAAAAAGAATGATAAATTAAAATAACTTGAATAGATCATATAACACATAACAATAATTTTTCTGATGGAAAAAAATAAGAAATTATTTTCACAGAGATTGACAGATATTATTTACTGAAACACAGAGATCTTCTCTAATAGTATGCTTTAACATCGAGTTTCACGTTGTTAAGTAAGTGCAGTTAATTTATCAATCAGTGAACACTAAATTTACCTTCTGCATTGCCATTCTTGACTAATGAAATATCGCTGGTGTCGTTGACGAAGAGACTTGTCCAGAAATATAGAAAACTTCCAAATACTCCGAATCACAACAAAAGCCTAGACTATCAGATGACACGATAAATAAGTGTCGGCAATTTCATGTACATTTACCATATTACTTAATGCATGACACATCATTTTGTGTATATGGATGATAATGACACATTTAATTTGTTAGATACTAGTATTATGCAAATGAATATTACATGAAATTTTACAATGGCGAGAGTCGATAAATTTTTCATAAATAAATTCTAAAATTATGAAATTATGTGCGCAAAAAAAATTAATAGTGTGATGTATACATAATATATATATACAGTGTCCGTAAAGATCGGGATCAAATTTATACAATGACCTTTACGGACACCCTGTATTTAATATACTTGCAAATCGCTAACATAAAAGAAGTGATTATAATTATATAATAATTGCAGTAGCTGTCAAAGAAAAAAAAATTGTATTCTGTCTCCAAAATAGGCACAACTCATACGTTTTTTTTAAGGTTTTTTTCTCCTATACGTCATAACATGAATTGGTATATATAATGCCTTGTTTTAATAATACAGTTCACATTTTTTTGCCAAGAAAAAATAAATACATAATTACGCCCTCATACATACATGTACATACATATACATGGCTAAATATTGATTTACAACATATACATTGGCTTCCACGGTCTTTACAAAATGTCACTATCTATCAAATATATATCATTTTTTTTTACAAAATTAAAAATATTCTGCAAAAAAGTACTTTCATAATAATTTAATGACATGATGTTGTTAGAAAACAGTAACTTTCTGTGCCTTTAATTTTCTCAAAGACGAATGCGCGCAATTATGTTTTTTTTTATTATATCTATTACTTTTTTGTAATAGAAATATATATTTAAATATATATTTAAAATAATATATATTTAAATTATTAGAAATTATTATATATTAATAGAAATATATATTTAAATTAATGTATCAAAATATGCTAGGTAGTAAAAAGATCAACTTTACGTGTATAAAAAAAATTATGATTTGAAAATCCGAAATCATAAAACTTTCATGCCTGTTATGTTTTTTTAAAAATAAGATTTTTGACAAGCAAAGCATTGAGTTGGGAAATAAACTCGAATTTAGCCTTTTAAAGAATTTTTAATCTACGCAGGGAAAAATAAAACCTACGCTATCAAGCCCTACTTGCAGATGATATAATACATGCGAAAAGTTTTACGAAAAAAAGTAACTTACATTGATGGAGATAAAGATGTACACCTTCCTTTAACAAATTGTACTGCTTTTCTCTGTAAAAAAAAATAAATCTTTATCGTCTACAACTGGTTGTGTTATTATGTTTGTTGCTTATCTTATCGTAGCGGTCCTGGCATAGATAGTATTTCAAGAGGAGCAACATATTATCGGCGTACATTTGTATGTAATTATTAATATATAAAAAACCGATAAAGAAGAAAATTTCACGATGTCCAAAGATTAAATTAGCAAGCTTGGGAGCTTGCTGTAATTTTTGAAAATGATTTTAATGCTATTAGATGTGCTTCTCTAAAGTGATAATTAATAAAAGATTATTAATAATATTTATCAGTTTGGATATCAACAAGTGAGATATCGGTGTCGTCTGAATTTATAATGGCAGGATATGCTTGTCAAAACATGCAATAAATGTTTTCCTCCTAAGCATGACTATGCAGATATCTCTACTCGGAATTCTTTACGGAAAGTGAAGAGCACAAAAATTGCCAATAAAAAAAAGTAGGAACGTTACATTAAACTACTACATAATAAGTGGAATCCTTTATAAGGTTTCCATCTATCACGTTAACAGTATTATACATTGACCATGGAAGTATTGATCATTGTCCTCTCTGCCCTTTTCTGTCATCTAATTTTTTATTTGACATATACCAGCTCGCGTATTAATATTATATGTATAAAAATAACAGTTATATTACAATTATATATTACAGTTATATTATATATAAAAAAATTATATATAACAGTTATATTATATACAATTATATTACAATTATATATAACAGTTATATTATATATAAAAAAAATTATATATAACAGTTATATAAAATTTATTTTATATATTTATTATTTATTTTATAAAAAAATTATATATAACAGTTAAATTACATACAATTATATTACAATTATATATAACAGTTATATTACAATTATTTATTTCATATTTAGTTTTGATTTTTTTTTAGGAAAATTATATAATTATATATAATATATATAATTTTTGAGGAAAAATTTTTATAAATGATTTTTAGCGATATTTTTTTATTAAACGTTTTGTTGCATATATTTTGTGCATATTTTTTGTACTTGGTGTACTTTTTTTACTTTTGTAAAATTTTTCTAGAGGGATTACAATTATATTATAATTATATACAGGATGTCCCAAAAGTCCCGGACCAGTAGAATATTTCATAAACTATGCACTTTAGAAAGAAATGTTTCAGATAAAAGTTGTATGGCTTGAAGGGGGCCATCAGATAGTGGCAATGATTTGACATGGGAGAGTCATTTGAAAGTCACGTGAAGATCACCGTCAATTTCTTAAATGAAACCCCCTATTTTTTATTACATATTCGTGTAGCTTATCTCGAGAGCTTTCCAAAACACTATAATAAAGTATTTCTTCATTGAGTACTTATTGAGTTATGAGGCTTGAAATCATTTCTTAATTTTGCATAAACCATAAAATATCTAGTAAAATATTCATTTTTCGATTATTTTACCTAAATAATTTTATGTACAAAATAATGAGAGCAATCAATTGGTGTAAAGAAAAAACATAGTTATTTTTTAAGAAAAAAATATGTAATTTGCAATTAACAATTACTTATTTTTTTTTAAAACAACTATGTGTTTTCTTTACATCAATTGATTCCTCTTATTATTTTGTACATAAAATTATTTAGGTAAGATAATCGAAAAATGAATATTTTACTAGATATTTTATGGTTTATGCAAAATTAAGAAATGATTTCAAGCCTCATAACTCGACAAGTACTCAATGAAGAAATACTTTATTATAGTGTTTTGGAAAGCTCTCGAGATAAGCTACACGAATATGTAATAAAAAATAGGGGGTTCCATTTAAGAAATTGACGGTGATCTTCACGTGACTTTCAAATGACTCTCCCATGTCAAATCATTGCCACTATCTGATGGCCCCCTTCAAGCCATACAACTTTTATCTGAAACATTTCTTTCTAAAGTGCATAGTTTATGAAATATTCGACCGGTCCGCGACTTTTGGGACATCCTGTATAACAGTTATATTACAATTATAATTGTTACAAAAATGTAACAAAGAGGTTACCCAGACAGCACACATGTCCAAAAGACATCTAAAAGACTATTTAAAGACGTCTTAAAGTCCTTTAGACGTCTTTAAGACGTCTTTTGGCCTTTTTGTGCTGTATGGGTATATACTTCCGAATTTTGCCTCTTCTATAACAGTTATATTACAATTATAATTGTTACAAAAATGTAACAAAGAGGTTATATACTTCCGAATTTTGCCTCCTAAAAAACTTTATATATTATATATTTTTTGAAAAACCAAACTGGAAGAATCCCAGATAGAAAACTTTCATTCACCTCGTACCCAGCTTGAAAACACACGGGATGCACATCATCGTAGCATCATACAAAACCGTAACACGTAGAGATAACGGCAGGAAATATACATGCACACACACGCACACACATACACTGGAGCAGGAAATTATTGCTATTGTACAATTACTACTAAATGTATCTAGAGGTCGATCCTCGCGAAATTCTCTCCTCACCGAGTCGGAGCGAAATCGCGGGTCGAAAACGTTCTCCACGTCGGATTTCGGAGTCGGAGTTCCGAAGAATGTTCCGAGCAAATGCGTTCCCCGTTGTTTAAAGAGCAACCACGCGTCATTCACTCGGCCAGCCGTGACTTAAGGAAAGAGAGAGAGAGAGAGAGAGAGAGAGAGAGAGAGAGAGAGAGAGAGAGAGAAAAAGATGTACACACCTATGATCGATCCTCGGAGGGATCCTCGAGGTAGATATACACTACGTCAATTTCGCCAAGTATCGCACGTATCCTCCTTTCTCTCTCTCTCTCTCTCTCCCCCTCTCTCTTTCTTTCTGCTCCGATTTCTCGGAACCACGACTCGCGGGGGAGAGACGGGCGGGGTCGCGCGACGTCGACGAGGAATCTGACGTTCGCCCAGCTGTTCTCGTTGCTCGTCTCGGCGAGAGAATAACGGTCGCGTGGTAAACGTCAGGCGCGAAATTCCTCGCGCGATCCCGTTGCATCCGCTCCGTTTCGTTTCGTTTCACGACGACGACGAGGAGGACGACGAGGAGGACGAGGACGACGACGACGATTTTGTACTCACCTCGCGTGGGTGCGGGTACCACTCGGGAATTTTGAGGATTCGGAACTTTCGAACCGATCGGGGAGAGACGAAATAGTATAAGACACTTATGACAAGTCCATTCACAGGCACTGACGAATTACTATGGTTGCAAGATGGGGCAAGATGGCGCTCGAAAATATTTCCGCTCTGCTCGTCGCGCGAGCATCGCGCACGAGCATTTGCGTCAATTTGCGTCGCCTTCGTGAGCAATGGGTTCTCTGTGTTTTCCTAGTCGTCGTCACTGGTGATGTGAGAGACTCTCGTTCGATTGAGAAATAACGTCACGACATGAAAACGATATAATAAGATATACAATAATATTTACAATATTAATAATATTAATAATTATAATTAATAATAATAATATTAATAATAATTAATAATAATGATAATATTAACAATATTAATAATATTAATATTACACAATAATATTAATTAGAACATATATAATAATATAATAATATTAATGCAATATAATATAAAATAATATTATATTAATATAATTATTAATATAAGATTATATGATAAAAAAAATATCATATTGTAAATATGATTTTTAAAATTACAAAGAAATGTATAAAAGATTTATCTTATCTTTCAATTGTAATAATCTCTTTTTGTCACAAGTACTACATGTGATCTTTCTGAACCCCAAACAATTAAATAAAATACTTAAATAATAATTTGAAAAACATGCATATTTGGAGCTTTTATCATTTTCATCAATAATTAAAATTTGTTAATTACAATTAATCATTATAACCATTTTTACTGAGAAAGTACATAAATTATTTTAATAAGTACATAAATATTAATTTAATTTAAATTCTTTGTCTGTCTAAAAATGAATTACTATACATACATTACACATACATTTAATGATTTCCTTTTATTTATTGTTACATTCATAGTCAACTAGATTGATTTACAAATATTCTATTTATATTGCAACTTTAACAATTTGTTTTTGTATTGTTACAAAGTAATCACAAAGTTATGCCTTCTAAATTTCTTTATAAATTAGATGCTACTAATATTCATATATATATATATATATATATATATATATATATATATATATATATATATGTGTGTGTGTGTGTGTAATCACAATACAGTGTTTTTAGTTAAGGCACAACAACCAAAATGCAATCTGATAATACAATTATCTCTCTCTTTCTCTCTCTGTAGAGAAGTTTAACTTATTGAACATTTTATATAGAGACGATATAGTAAAACATGAAAGTATTCAAATAGCTTTACTGTTCAAAAATTGCATAAATATTTGAATACTTTTATAAACCATATATTTGCATGATATCAAAATGTTACAGTTAGTTTATTTTTATTAACTGATTAATAAAAAATGTAAATATAGTAACTATTTTTATTAATAGTAATAAAAAGTTTTTATGGAAAGAAAGACATACATAATTATATATTATTGAAAATATGTACATAACACTTTTTACAGTAACACAATTTCTAAAAATGCAATATATTATATTCTTCCTACATCTAATATTTTCAAAACATTTAGAGACTACAAAAATATTATATATTAATTTTCAAATAACAAAATCAATGATCTTGTTCATACGATACAATATTTTAAAGGAATTTTTGTGCATTTTAAAGATATTTATTTATCTGATCAAATTACATAATATTAAAATTATTCTTGCATTTGTATGCATCAAAATTAATCAAATAAAATTGTGCCAAAAAAGAAAAATCAATTTTATGCTGTTGTATTGCATGAAATATTTACACAAAAAAATATTTAATATATATTTCTATATCTTTGAGAAATGTAAAAATATTTAATTGCAATTTAATTACAGTTTCTATATCTTTATATTCTCAAGATTCAAAATGTGCAGTAAAGATTTTGTATTTATATCAACATAAATGTATATACAATAAATATGAATCAACAAATGCATCAAAGTGCATTTTTTAAATATAATAAGAGTATCTTATAAAAAATTACTATGTCGCAAATGGAATATAAATATTTTGTTTTAGTATTGTACAGTCATTTGTATAATACTTTTGTTAGCTTTGTAGTATTTCATAATAGGATTCATAACTCAATTAAATATTAAATATTAACATTAAATGTTAATTATCAATAATTGATTGAATTGTCAATTAAACTTCAAATATTTTTAACTGGGCTTGTTATAAGTGAAAAATTTGTGACTTGCAATATAATTCCAAGAATATATAATGCAGTTACAAATATCCTATTATGTTCTACATTTTATATAACAATACTGAGGCTCGATTAAAAGGTTTTAAAAGATAATTATCTTTTAAATAAATAAGAAATTTTTGATTGATTGTTTTACCGTTTTCCATATTTTCGTTTAATGATAATTAAACGAAAATAAATATTGTTGAATAGAAAAGAATCACTCTTAAAACAATGTACGATAGCCAATAATTTATCCGCATTGATAAAGTTATCCTCATTTCGTGAGGAATTTGCAGAGGAATCACTCCTAATGATATTCTGTAGTTGGAGTCACATTGATCATGTCGGTAGTACTAAAAAACAAAAATATATATATATGATAAATAGAAACAAAAACTTTTGCTATTGTTCTTGATAATAAAATAAAACGAACAATTATTAAAGCACAGAAGAAATTAAAATGTTTTTAAATGTAGCAATAAAAATAAATTAGAGAAATATATATTGTATAAATTGAAGTAAACATTTTTCTTCATGACATGCTACATGCTATTTATATATTTACTCATATCTCTCGACAGAAATAATTTACATCATAGTTTTATGCCATACAGATAAGCATTGTTTCTTTTATTACTTAATAATATATAATATAATCTTAATATATAAATTATATTCTTAATATAATGTAAAAAGCAAAAATATAATAAACATATCACAAAATCGCGCATTTCGATAAGTTTTTACTTTGCGCCTATTAATTTCACATATATCTTCTAAAAAAAAATAGCTTCTATAGATATACATTTTTACTTTCAGACAATATAAAATTGTTGTGATTAAACAATTGTTGAAATTAAAGTTGTTCTATTAAAGAAAAAAAATTACACATAGCAGCATTTTAAATATAAATATCTCATTCTTCTGATGTATGCAGAAAGATAGATGTACATCTTGACAAAGCATACAATACACATAAATATAACTAGTCGAGCGTGATTTTTATTTGTTATGATTAAAATAGAAATCTTTTAATATATACTCTCAGTATTGAAATAATAAATTATTATTAACGACAAGACACTCGATTAGTCATATTCCATTATGTTATACAAGGCAATATTTTACAAATCAATTACAGAAGGGTAGACATAACACAATATCACAAACACTTACAAGAACATATATGGTGCCCTAAGTATACTTTCTTGTAGTCGTCTTTACATTAGTTTGCTGTATAACATATATCAAATTAAATTATCAACTCATGTTGTAAAAAAAAATCTCGAAAATCTCTCTTTATAAATCTTTCTTATCGAAATATCTATTTCAATCTGACTTAAAAGATTGCTTGTTAATATTAACATTAGATAAAGATGAATATTAAAATACAAGATGATATATCGTTTAAGATTGATACACATTTATGCATTTTCACAGTTACACAAGAGTACATTTGTGAACATTAAAGATATTAACATATATTTTGCTTTTACATCATTTTATGTTCGAGTAATCGATAGTTCCTTCACCTTTGTGTTGAAAATGTTATTAGAGAGAATATTTTTTTTATATATTTATTGTTTATATAGACAAGAATGAAAAGCATTACATAGTATATAAATATGATTGTTACCTCTTGGAACATTTAATATGTATAATGAGCAATGCTATGCCCAGTAATAAACATAAACTTCCCACAACAATGTAAGCAATACCGAGGAAAGGATTCTTTCCTCCCAAAAGTGAAGTTGTACTTAAAATCATCTTCTTCTTTCCATGAAAGGCAGATACTGAAAATGCTGAAAAAATTTTTTCAAGCTAATATCAAGAAGAAAATATCATACAAAAGACATCAAGTTAAAATTCTTCAACTAATTATCGATCATATTTAAAAAAAAAATTTGTTTAAATTATACTTACAATATTTGACTTTAAGAATGTAATTTCCTGCAAGTAGACCATTAATGAATCCATTTTTAGTATGATCAACTCTACGGTAGAGTTTTCTAAAAGTTGGTAGTGCAGCAGTTCTCATCCATACAATTAAATCTTCATTTTGGAACCCATTATTGTTTTCATCCTTTGGATCCAATTCGTAAATATGTTTAGTCCAGTTCTTAGGCTTTCTAAAGTTCTCAAATGCTTTTTTCAAATCCCCTTCAGGATTTCTAAACTTGATATTTTTATCAGATGGCCAAGCTATACCAGTTTTTAATAATGGCACAGATTTATTATGCTTTGTAGAATACAGCGTGAGCTCATCACTAAAGAGTGAATTTGCGATGGCTCCACACGGAGCGATCGGAATTTTTGTGTCGTTTACTTCTTCATAGGCAAATGGTTCACAGTCACTCGAAACAATATTGCTCAATTGTCCCAACAATTGATTATCATCTCGAGATTTTACGTATCTACGGTGATTCTGATAAAAGTTTGTCAGGCCATAATACATGTAAACTTTTCCACCAAAATCTACAGGTAATGTGAAATTTATTTCACAGAAACAGGAGGTGTCATGATTTGCTGCAATTACATCTGCACACTTCATAGGCTGCCTATCGCTTCCAGTGATATTGGTGGCATTACAATTAGTGTAATCTATAGTCTGTTCCTTGACTTCGTCAGAAAAATAAAGCAGTCCTATACCAACTGGAATAAATGCAACTCCTATTACAAAAAACGTCGGTAGAACTGTTCCAGCTGTAAGTATTGGTTGCCAGGCTGGTAATCGTTGCTGTTTGAATGCGCTATCTGTATGCAATCAATTTAATTCATATATACATATATATATGCATGTATGTGTATGATATATAATACATAGATTTATAGTAAAATATATAGATTTTTGCATAAAATATATACAGGGTGTCCCAGACTTAACGAATCAGCCATTAATAACAGATTCCTGAGATCATTTGGAGACGAAAATTCTAAAATGTTGAGAAAGACTTCATAAAATATCCCTGAGCACGAGAAAACATAACACACCGATTGATAATCTTTAATCTTTTGTAGCGCCGAAACTACATCTTCCTCAACATTTTGGTATTAAGATTTTCGTTTCCAAATGATTTCAGGAATCTACCATTAACGGCTGATTCGTTAAGTCTGGGATACCCTGTCATATACATATTAAATATAAATTATATACATAAAAATTTAAAACAGTATAACTTGTAATATATATTGCTTAAACAATTCCAAAATTATATATAAAATTATATTGAATTTTATCAATGCAATATTATTAAAATCAATTAGATAAAATATTGGCGTATATATGTATAATAATACGATAAAAAATGTACGAAATTCGTGCGAAAGTTTAATCGATAATCAAGATTCCAGCTCTTGATAATCCTCGACGATCGATAAAATGCTTACCCGATGGTTTTTTCGATTTGGGCACCGCATTGACTTCGCTGATGGATGTCATAATTTATCGGGAACAATATTTAATTAATATTTAACAAGCTTCGATAACCTAGTATCACGTTCAACTGCCATCGATCGACCATTTGCAAAGTGAACGAAACGACATACGTCATACGTCATCGCCGACCTTAAGGACCATTTTCATGTATGAGGATCATGCGACGTGCAAATCCGCCTTTAGATCATCCCGTGACCAAATTCAACGCGTGTGCGCGAGAAGAGACCTCTGAGCATCTCCGAGCAACACGGTTTATTTATATACGTGACATTTCAGGTATGTGGTATCACGATTATTTACTTTAGAATTCGATTTATAAAGCTTTATATTTTTGTTTTGTCGATGATCACATGATCATCGCTTTCCAAGTAATGTATTAATCGATGCTGATAAATTTGCTCAGTGAAATTACCTCGAAAAACACAATCTGGTCTACCAATGAGATCGCATTTACAAAGTTGAAAAACTAATCTAATATATATATATATATATATATATATATATATATATATATATATATATATATATATATATATGTCAGTTGGTTTGACCTCGTATTTTTTTTTTATCCATGTATGTTGATTATTATGGCCGTTTTTCAGAAAGCGACACGGAGAACATTCAATATATTGGAAGAGCCAAAGTGACCCGGTGTATCTCGTAGGCGTTTTTTCAGAAATTTATATTTTCGATTCTTCACAATTTCATACTTGATTTGTACTTGATATCGAAAATGATAAAGCGAAGGTTACCACACAATTGGATTACCGTCAGTTCTAAGACCCATCCGGACAGAGTATACTATTTCAACGTGAGAACAAAACAATCTTCATGGACTGAGCCAGTGTTGGATAAAGCTGAAAAGGTATTTTATCTTTCTGTTATTTGCAACTCTGATATCAAATATGTGTATTAAGTTTCTGATTAATATATTGTATTTAATATGTTTTTATTTTAACATTTGTATATATCTAGATGTGTGAGATAAATGACAAAAGTTATAGAAAACGTCACGAAGAAAAAGATCAAACAATAATAACACCAGAACGCAATCCTGTGGATGATAGGACATTTTGTAAGCAACAATCGAGTATTAAAATTACAGAGACGCCACAAATGAAAGCAATTCGAGAAAAAATATTGAAAAAATTGACTGCCAAAGATAAATCTTCTCTTCCATCATCATCAAAAACTTTAACAAAATTGACAGAAAATAAAACAGTTTCTTCTTTAAAAAGAACTTCAAAATTGGTAAAGAATGATGAATCATTATCTCTGGATAAAAATGATAATGAAGTAACAACATTCACGCCACAAATGTCTGCTCTTTATGAAAAAATTCAACGGCGGAATTTAAATAAATCTAATCCAGACAAAAAATTAAGAATGAGTGCTAAAAGTAAACAGCAAGAGTTGAACATGACAAATCAGAAATCAATAAAGATGCAAGAGAATCGAGAAAAGGGTACCAAATATCAAGATGTGAATCATAATAATGAGCAATATCCAAATAATAAAAAGCAGAATGCACAAAAATCATACACCCAAAATATTTCAAGTAAGTAATACAATTATACATAATAATATACTTAATATTTTTATATATTACATATTATTTATTAATATAATATCTTAAAATTTCTTGTTTAGGAAAAAGAGAACTAAAATCCCCGTTTAAGAAAAATATCGCAAAAGAAAGGATGCACATATTAAGAAAAAGTTTGAGTTTGGATAAAGAAAAACTAAAAGAAATTGGACGTACTATGATCAAAGAAAAATTCCCACAAAAGCGCATTAAAAGTTCACCAAACTCTTACTGTAAGCAAATAATTTTGATCTTATTTATATTTTGAAATTTTTAATATTTTGAAATTTTTTTTTTCTTTCACAGATAATCGCAGCTTAGGATCTACAAATATTTATAAAAATGTTGAGACTCGACTTACGAGATTACATAACAAAATTTTAAAAGAGGCAGTGCATAAAAATAATCTTCCATTAAATGGTGATAAATCACAGATTCGACAAAATAACGAATTAGTAGTTGAAAATGTGACAAAAGAAAAACTAATAGAACAGGCTAAGCAAGAAGTTTTGTATGAAGAAATGGATTGGGAACCAATGAATGATGATGACATTGCACAGGAGGTATTATCAATATAATTGATCAATAAAACATTAATTAATTAATTTGTGAAAAAATCTAAAATAGAATTTATATAAACATAGATATATCTGGTTATTATAATTATGTGTATATGTACACCTATCTCAGATATTATGTTTTTCATCTATTTTTTTAAATTTATGTAAATTAGAAATCTATATTGTGTTTTATATATTTTATGTACCCAAATATTGAAGAGAATATAATATTTTACATATTTTAATATATTTGTTATGTAGGTCGAAGTTGTTAGAACACAATTAGGCAAAGAGAATCATGTAGACAAAACAAATTATATATCGGGAAATACTGTAGAACTAATACAGTGTAATAACACAGAGCCACAGGAGAGGAAGCCATTATATATTGTTGTGGATACAAATGTATTTTTGTCAAATCTTAAAATTATTGAAGAAGCAAGAGATGCAACATTTAAAAATTATCCACGTCCCTTCATTGTAATTCCATGGACTGTAATAAATGTAAGTATAAGATATTAATATAATGAATATATTCTATTTTTTCTTTTCTTTCTTTCTTTTTTTCTCTCTTTTCTCTCTCATCAAATTTGATGTTACCTTTTCCAATTTTATAACAGGAGCTAGATTATATAAAGAGTAATAGATCTACGCATGAGTTATCTGTAAAAGCTAGGAAAGCTATCTCTTTTATTCATGAACAATTTTCTTCTAAACATCCACGTATCATAGGCCAAACACGAGAACAGGCACTAAAAAATAAAGAAGAGTTTTCCCTTAATTGCCCAGATGATGAGATCCTGCAATGTTGCTTACAAATTTTTCATTTACAAAAAGATGTGGTAAGATGTGATTTTATTGTGTCATATGATGTACAAGTATATACTATATTAAAGAATTTAATATATTTCTTTTCATTCTTATTTTTTACAAACAGGTTTTGTTGTCATATGACAAAAATCTCTGTAATAAAGCGATGATATATAATATATTGGCATTGGGACGTAATGATCCGCTTGAAAAAATAGATTATTACAATATGAATGATAAAACAGTTAATTATTTAAATGATAGTCCCATTGAAAAGTCTGTCTTTAATGAAGAATTGCATTTAACAGATGATGTTTTTGAAGATATAAAAGCTACTATGAAAGACTTTCTATCAACAGTATGTATTATGTATTGGATTTTCAATTGACAAGCTTTCACGAATCAGTTAACAAATGTATTTTCTTTTTATAGATTATCACTAAACAAATGTCGGAAATTTATGGAGAAGCAGAGTGGAAGTTTTATATCATTATAAAACCACCTTGGACTACAGTAACTGCATTAAAGTGTGCTATAAAGCATTGGATTGCCGCAATAAATGAATCATTTCATAGGCGTGCTGAACACATTTTGAAGGAATTACTTCTAGCTTTTGAACATTCACCAGGTATATAACATATAATAAAAAATATATTACATTAATATAATGTAAGCTTAATCTTAAGCTTATTATTTCTAGTTGGTGGCAGGAAATTGGAAAATGTGGAATATATCTTGGAAAAGTGCAGCGATCTAATGCAAGCAGTTAATACAGATAAACACCATGAACTTATGAAACAAACATTTGATGCGATTATGGTAATATTTGTATGAATACACTTTATAATTATAATATAAAGAATAATTAAACTTTGAAAACTGATATTTTTAGGAACTCAAGAAGAAATGTCGCGGCTACATCATTGATATACAGCAGAAAAAATTACATGATATGATAGGCATGCAAGAAGATATTCAAGAGCAAAAAATGAGAGCAGAAAAAGTATTCCAATGTTTCCACCATATCTACAATTACGCACGTGACTTGTGGTAAGACTTTGTTTTATAGAACATGTTATGATTTTTGCAAAAAGTGTTTTTAATATCATACCTAATATGATATTTTATTATTTGTTTCTTGTTATTCTTCATGACAGTGGTACAGCATGTAGCAATGCAGGAATAGTGCATTCTTTTAACTTTGAACTTGTAAATTCATTGCTACCTGCAGCTATAGAATCTTTGCGACCAGAGCTCTCAAGAAAGGTAGTTGACTTGACGCAGAGTCTTAATAAGTAAGTCTCTTAATAATCGGTATTGGATACTGATGGGATATATTTTGTCAGATATTTTTTATTATGTATTATTCATATATTTATAATTCTTTTTTGAAATTAGGTTACTGTTGCAAGCCGAAAATTCCAATATAAAATATCAAACATTACTTAATTTGCAACAAAACTTAAACACATTTTTGCCTGACATAGAGAAAACATCAGAGTTTGATGTGACACCTTTAGATGTATATTGCTGTATAAAATTAAAAGAAGAGCCATTGAAAACTGGGTTAAAGCAACTTCAAGATTTAACCACACATTTTTGCGCATTAGCGGTTCATACATAAATATATAGGTACATGTTATATATATATATATATACATATATATTTTATGGCAATTCTCTTTAATTTATTTTTAAGTGACAGCATACAAATACGAAAATATGTATATATACATCTATTTAATAAATAATATATTTATTTTTACTAAATGATATAATGACAATTCAGCATTGTCATTGAAAGATGATTTTTTAGAAGGGTAACCGATATATATTAATGACGTCATGAAAGATGTTGTATGGTTTTTGAGTGAGAGCATTGTGCGACAATCTTTGGTTAAGATCTACTGAATTACGCACATGAAAAATATCATTCCAGAAGAGAAAATAAAAAATTGCGAATAATCTCGTAAAAATCGACGTATTGAATATAAATTTCATAATTCTACTCTTTTTGGAGGAAAATTATTGTACAAAAAAGTCTCCTCAAAAGTTACCATTTTATGCAAGCAATCTTTCATCGGTTCGATCATTTCATGTACAAAATAATATGTAAAAAAAATTATTTGTTATCGCTTCTAAATTGTAAAAGTGTCATTTTTTTTGTTTACTGAAAAAAAAGAATGAAAAATTATAGATAATAAAAAATTAATACAATATAATGTGACAAACAATTTTTAAACAAAAATACAATACACTTAATTTCTATAGAGGTTCGCGAATCCTTCAGCAGGTGGTTGAAGCCAATTCTCCTTCGAATAGGACGCGTGTTTCGTCTCGATCACGTGAAGTGTATAAGCGTGTCTCGATGTTTCGCTCTTGTTGGGATAAGAAAAGTGCACTACTTGGCCGTGAATAAGAATGCAAGTTCCTTTGCGTACAGGTACAGGCCTGAAATTACTTAATGGATAGCAAGGCGCCGCTCTATCGTATATTAATAATTCTTGAGAATTTGCATCCTTGTTTCTTATGTAACGCCTGTGCACTCCGCTCTGATGTGAACCCGGGGCAATCCATAGACATCCGTTTTCTTGCGTAGCGTCTTCCAATGCGATCCAGAAACCCACGAGCGTCATTGGCTCCGTATATAAATACGATGCATCTTGATGCATTGTAACTGCAACAAAAAATTGTTATGAACTTAGACATCATAATTTCTTCATATGATATTTCCTCATATGATAAGCTATATAGCATATAATTATTCTAGCAAACATCGAATAACAGTTATACAGAGTGTCCCAAAAGTCCCGGACCGGTCGAATATTTCATAAACTATGCACTTTAGAAAGAAATGTTTCAGACAAAAGTTGTATGGCTTAAAGGGGGCTATCAGATAGTGGCAATGATTTGACATGGGAGAGTCATTTGAAAGTCACGTGAAGATCATCGTCAATTTCTTAAATGGAACTCCCTATTTTTTATTACATATTCGTGTAAGCTTATCTCGAGAGCTTTCCAAAACACTATAATAAAGTATTTCTTCATTGAGTACTTTTCGAATTGAGGCTCATTTCTTAATTTTACATAAACCGTAAAATATCTTGTAAAATATTCATTTTTCGATTATTCTTACCTTAATAATTTTATGTACAATAATGAGAGGAATCAATTAGTGTAAAGAAAAAACATAGTTGTTTTTAAGAAAAAAATATATAATTTGCAATTAACAATTACATATTTTTTTTTAAAACAACTATGTGTTTTCTTTACACCAATTGATTCCTCTCATTATTTTGTACATAAAAGTATTAGGGTAAGATAATCGAAAAATGAATATTTTACTAGATATTTTATGGTTTATGTAAAATTGAGAAATGATTTCAAGCCTCATAATTCGAAAAGTACTCAATGAAGAAATACTTTATTAGTGTTTTGGAAAGCTCTCGAGATAGGCTACACGAATATGTAATAAAAAATAGGGGGTTCCATTTAAGAAATTGACGGTGATCTTCACGTGACTTTCAAATGACTCTCCCATGTCAAATCATTGCCACTATCTGATGGCCCCCTTCAAGCCATACTATTTTTATCTGAAACATTTCTTTCTAAAGTGCATAGTTTATGAAATATTCGACCGGTCCGGGACTTTTGGGACACTCTGTATAACTGTTAGTTATAATTTTCCACTGTTATGTAACAGTTATATTGTTGAGTAGAAAAATTACAGTTATATAAATGTTATTTGATGTTTCCTGTATATATTAAATTATATGGATTATATATCGCATTTTTGCGCAATATTGCAATGTTATAATAATAATATTGCTGCAATATTCTGTGCTGTATGAGTAGAAAGAGAGAGAGCAAGTAATTAATTTATCTACCTTCCGCGCCTATTCTGGGATTCTTGTAAATGTACATCGATTGACACACTGCTGGCTCTTGATATTCTAACTGAAAAGCGACTTCTTTAACTCTTTCATCGAAGGAATATTTTTTAAAGGTAGGATGTAACCAATGAAGTGCATGACCCACCTGAAAAGTACAAGGTAATTGCTTCAAAATTACGAAAATTGATTCAGTTAGATATTTTCCTTCAAGGAATAGTTTACTTTGTTTAACGACACTCTTGGATGAACCTTCAATTTTCCGTCTTTCTCCAGAGCTTCAGACTCGAAGAAGACACTTATTTTGTTGGCGCTATCCAAAAAATATTTCTCCTTATTCTAAAACAAGACAATCATTATTTTTGTTAATGTTATGCAGAATTTTGAGTTTCATCTATAAAGAGCTTCGCCAAAGGACATACATAATATTTTATGTAATTAATTTGTATAATTAATTTTACATAATTTATATAATTAATTTTCTATAAATTATATTCGCTATATATTTATTAAAAATTAATTAATAAAGTGTAGAATTAATTGCGCGGTCGTAGAAAAAAATAACATTATTCATTTTCCATCGATTTTAATCCATGTATCGCACGATTAATATCAATAATAATACTTTATTAATTTCATAATTATCTAATCTGATTAAACACCTGCGGTAATTCTGTCGCACTAAATATCTGCCGTTCCGATTCAGATGGCAACTTGTTCGTAAATTCTTCTCCGCACGATTTTAATTCCTCGATCTCCTCCGGACGAAAGAAGTCCTCCAAAATGACGTAACCATTTTTCTGAAACTGTTAATTATAATCAATATAAATTACTTTGGAATTTTTAAATTACGCACAATGTGAATAAGTTTGTGTTGCAATTTGAAATTACTTGTTTTTCTTTTATATAATTGTATTAATATTCTCGTGTTATTTTGTTCCAAATTTATAATATTTAATTACATAATCGATTTTATAAGTAATTTACAAAAAACAAAAAATTATTTTTCCATTTTTTTAAATAAATATTATTTTTTACAAATAAGTATAAATTTATTATATGTATATTTTTTATAAATAGAAGAAAGATAAGAAGGAAAAGTGATTAAGAAAGCTTTCTTTAATTATATTATACAAATGTATTTTACAAATGAAACAATAGAGTTATGTTAAAAGGAAAATATGAAGAAATACATAACATATATGAAGAAATTTGAGGAAACATTTCTCAATTCGCATTTATTCTTGAAATAATTGATTAATACAATAATTGTACTAAGAGATTCGATATATTCGCGTTACATGATTATTATATAGTACAGTTTGAGGGAATGAGATGAGAATTATTTATTCGATCTATCAGAATAAAGTAAAGAGCGATTGAAGATACCACTTTCAGAGTTCAAAGTTCCAAGAAATTTCATTTCCGGTACGTTGATCAGCTGATTATTTGACGTTTGATTCGTCACAGTATCTAGATAATGTTTTGAGTGATATGCTATACAACTCTATATAAATAGATCGCGACCGAGATTAGGACACCTAAAAATAATCACGGGCCATTGCCTGCTTCAAAGGGCAAACGAATCTCTCGAGTATATGTTTCTGGAGTTTTTTCGTTTATATTTATTCCGCATCTCGTATTAATATGCTGACTATGCGCCAGATCAGAGAGAGAAATTACATACATATATCATATCAAGAAAGTGAATAAATTGCTTTATTAACGCTAATTAAGATAATCCATTGCAGTCGCGTTAATAAAATATCAGATGAATTCTAGATTAGTCCGCAACGTGGAAAATTAAGCCTAATTAGGGAAAGCTTTCTTGATGCCTTTAGCTTATTTGTGGAATATGTATCAACCAATTAAATATATTTAGGTAAAATTTCTTTTTTAATTATTCATATCTTAATTAGTTTATTTTTTTCATTGGGCGTCCGATTAAGACTTAACTTTTGAAAATTTGGTTTTCTTAATTATCTTAATATTCATTTTATCATTTGACATTTGACAAATTTTTCCTTAATAATAATTAATTAACTCTCACAATTAGCTGTCATGTGAATGCATTGCGTTTTTGTTAAGATATCTTTAATCTTAATAGATATGTAAAAATAAAATGTTTCGCGTAACAAAGAATGTTATATATTATATGTGAAATGTAGAGTTTTGAGTTCTTTTTCTGTCAGCATTTATTTATATTAAAAGTTTCTAACGTATGATATATTACGAAACAAACATTCCAAAGTAATAAAATGTCTCTAACCGAAAGCGAAATGTCAGTTGCATGACGTTTAATTTACGGAACAATTTGATATGCAACCTATCAGATTTTCTGCTACAAATATCTATCTCATCTTCTTCACAGAATTGCAAATCAATTTATAAACAAATGATTGTTTTTCTAGTGGTTAACAAAGTCACTGTCAAATGCTAAAAAATCTACGAAAATCTCTGCGTCAAAAAAGAAACTTTTGGTGTAAAATGTGGGTTTGACTGACGGGTTTTTGACAACATCTCGAAAGCTATGCTTCGCGAAATTTCATAGAAAGTCTTGTCATTTGATCGAAAGCTATGGTATATTTCTCGCTCAATGATTGGCGAACCTTTTGAACCTCGGCAGTAAAGATGCCACGCGAAGAACATTTGTCGATTGCGCTTCGCTGCTCCGAGTATCTACGAAAAGTTACTCTGTGCAATTTATGTTGGTGATACGAAACACATTATTGCATTCTCCACAACATCGCACGTTTCCGCGATAAAAGAGGGATATGGTACAATACAATGGCAATATAAAACATAATGATATCTGTAATCTTTTTCTCTTTCCTTACTTTGTATTACCCTCGTTTGAACTCTGGCCTTTCTTCATCTTCGAATCATAATTTATTTAAAAAGTAGTAATCACTTAAATAAAGAAATTACATTTTTAACATTTTAATTAAAGCCGTTATTGTTTTTTCTGATATAAGCCTTTTTTATGAGATATTCTTTTTTCCTCAGAAACAATGTCGTCAAGACGCAAGATGAAATAATGAATATTTCTAATTTTTTATTTTGTGGTGCAATTTTTAGTACTCAATATATTTGCAATTTTTCTGTATAACTTCTAATAAAAGATGAAATATTTTTAATATTCCATTTTAAATTATTAATCAAAATATTGAGCTGAAGAGAGAAAGATTGACAGAACTTGTAAAATTTGATTGAACATTTGATGATTTAATAAAGCTATAATTAATATTTCATGCAAATTTGTGTGATTAGAATTATTTTGCAATAAATCGACAAACTAAAATTAATCATTTTTCAAGATTTTTTTTCAATTTATTATTTATTTTCAATTTATTCTTTTTATCAATTTATTTTCAATTTTCAATTTATTTTCATAGTCTTTTACAAATCGTTTTTTTATGAAACTATTAATCATTTTTTAACAAAATATTTTGAATATAATTCACGAATGCGTAGATTATTAATTAATCAGATTATTAATTAACCTTTGGTTAATTTTTAATAAATATATGGAGACATGTCGCAAGCAAATCCGGTAGCCAAACTGGTGCATCAATGCAAAGTTCTACGAGCGAAGCGCATCCCGAAAATAGAGTAGCCGTCGACAGGTGGGTGGTTGGCTACGTCATCTCGTTCTCGCGTCGGCGTCGTTTTTTTGGAATTTCGTTCGTATATACGAATGACTCAAATCGCGTGCGAAAATCGCGCATGAATCGCGCGGATAGAAATAGAAACGTGAGCGAATTCCTGGATCCTCATTCTTCGTTCATCCTCGTTTCAAACCGCGGTTGCGAAGAATCAATGGACAAGGTCGCCTATTTCGCAAGTGTATTAATCCACGTGTATATGTTGAGTCTGAGGAATGAAAAGAAACATCTGCATTTTTAAAGCGTATCCTATTGTTTCCCTCTAATGTTGTTTCCCTCTAATCGATATAAAAGACGATAGACACGTACTTAATAATATTATTAAAGTATATGTATTATTATTTAATCTTGAAGAAAATTTTTAATTTATTTAAAATAATTATTGGAGAATATTCTTCGACTGATATTAAGAACAATATCCAATTAAATATTATAATTGGAATTTATTTAGAAAAAAGAATGAATTGATGTAGATTAATATACATCAGTGAGTAAGATATTTTACATGTAATGAATTATCATTGAATATGATAGTTCGATGAGTTTTCCTTTTTTCGCTTAAAATTAAAGTATTTCATGTTTATTTAAATCATTAATTATGTATTTATATTGTGTCTGTATTATATTTTTAAATTTCGGCGAAAATAAATAATTAAAGAACATACTATCATTATATATTTTTCAAGACCAATAAAGAAAAGTTTTTCTTTTATTTCTCATATATTATGTGATGAATGATGGAGTGTTTTTAATCGCGATATTTTTAGAGGAAGGAAAATTATTATGATTAGAAAGCAATTATTTCTGAATTTTTGCACCTACCTATGCTTTCCATTCATATTAAAAAGTAACAATTCAAATCATGCAGGTAAATCAACTATTTTATGTTATCTCAATATGCAGCCAAATGTTTAATTTTATCTCTATTTATGCATCATTATGTTAATTTTACTATTTTTAATAAATATTTTTAAATTTAATATTTTCCCTAAAACTTCAAGTCTTTAAAATTTTTTGAACACATTTATAAATTTCAACTTATGATTCTCTTCAATAATCTTTCCCTGGCACATTGAACATTTATTATTGCACTAAAGTCTTTCAGTTGGCACATAAAATTAATGTGTCAGAATGCCACTTGAAATTATCAGGCTGATATATTTTTGCGGGAAAAATTAAAAATATTCCATTTATTACGTAATATAAAAGAAATAAAAGAAAAATGTTTTCCAATCTTGAGAAAGATGTACAAGATAATGTCTTTTAATCATTTTCATCGAAATTTAAAAATAGTTTCTGAAATTTCAAAAATCGAAAAAAATACATTTTGTCATAATGATTGATGATGAAACAATATATAATCTAATATCTTGATCGCACTTTTCTTCAAAAGTTTCCTTTAATTCGAATTTAATATTTATGAATCTCGTTTTTAAAATATAATCAAATATAATCAAATTTCTTTAAATACAAAATTAATTAAATGTTGTTGAAATTGTTGATGTTTTTCCTTACGATATGCAGATAATAATTTGTGTGTATGCAGATAACAATTTGTGTGTAAGAATTGATAAATTATTAGTAGTACTCACATTATAATTACTAAACATTTCTTTTTACTTGTTCGTATATTTTCTCAAGTCTAACATGCAAAGTATTTTAAGTATGTATGACATTTTGTTCTTTAAAAAAATACTTATATCCGTATTAAAAAAATTATTGTAGTTTATCCTAGTTTTAAATAATAACAAGTATGTATTTTTTACTAAAAAAAATAATTTTATATTTGTTTGTATATTTTTATCTTAAAGTATTGTTTTATTTTTTGGATGCATGTATATGTATATTAAAAAAAAAGAAAAGTCACACGTACATATTGTAATGTTAAAATAAATAATTGTAACTACAATAGAAATTGATAAAATTCAAAAGCCAATAAATTAAAAAATTGATTCCAAAATATTTTCAACAATTATTCAAAAGCATCTATTAATTAATAAAATCTGATATTTTTCAATTTATAAAAACTGTTGAAATATTATATTTTATTGCTGAAAAAGAGTTGTAACGCTGTTAATTTATAAATTATACATATGCAATTATATTAATATTTAACACACGTGATACATTAAAATACATTAAAATACAACTGTGCATGTGGAAAAAAACTTGAGGTATAGAGAAATTTTATTTTATATTACTGACATGAATTGATGCTATGTTTCGATGGAATGATAGATTGTTCGGATAAGAGAATGCTGACCTCCGAACCGAAAGGTCCAGCTGATTATGCCAGTTGAATTTCCGCTGAAATGACGCTGTTAAACAACTATAACCTCGTTTCTCGATTTATTGACGCAAATGCGTATAAAGACTTGTTATATCGCCAAGCATTTTAATTATGTGATTCTCTACCAACATTACAAAATCAAAAAATTAGAGCCTACTTCTCGCTTGTCGGAAAATAAAAAATTTTGATAAATGTTAATTTTATCGAAATTTATTAATATTGAACTTTTATGTGAATTCTTAATCAATTGAATATTATTTGATGAAAGCAAATAAGTACATCAAGTTTTTATATCAAAGTAATGTATTATATGTACAATATGGTGGATATTCTTTATATATTTTAAGTATATATTTTAAAAATATATGTAACAGAATTAGAGAGAGATACTAGAAAATATTATATATAAGTTTTATGCAAATATTAATTCTTTTACTAGTAAAAAATGCAATATATTATAAAATATAAATATAAGTAAAATATATAATAAATCTAATTTTAATCTATAATAATAAAAATATTTATGTTACCGTATCGTAACAAACAACACAGTTATATATGTTTATTATTATCACTTTGTTATCATAATTATTATCATGATAAAAAAGATAAAGAAATATGTATATATATATATATATATATATATATATATATATATATAAACATAAGTTTTATTTTAAAAACATTCGAATTATACAAAGTCATACCTACATACACATTTCTTCATAAATATTATAATACAATAAGCAATATGTTTATAAAACAATCGAATTATATATTAAATTAGATATTAAATTAGATATTAAATTAATATCAAATTACATATTAAAAAGTTCAGTATTATCTGTCAATCGAATTTCTTGAAAAATGATGAATTTATTTTAAATATTTGTTCGTAAAACGCGTCATCGTCCACATGTCAGCATCGATGATAAACGGCGACTCGAGAACCTTTTCCATTGTACAAGATGCGACACAGGGAGAGACATAAGTCTCGTGAGGCTCACCTGCGCTCGGATGTCCATCGTGTTACGCATATCGAAACGCCGGCCTCACAATTCGATCACTCCTGAACCTGTTTGCTGAACACGAGCTCGAACACACGTCCGCGACCGAGTGCTCGCACCAAATGACTAGGTGAGCCTCGCGGATATACGAAGTCGATCCGACGACTTGGCTGTGCGAGGCGAGACGAGAATCGCTGGCGTCTCGTCTCTTTCCGGACTCTCGAGACAGAACCAATCAGGAACTTGATTTCCCAAATTTTATCTGATTTCATTTTAATTTAATGAATTTATCTGATGACTCAAATTTATCTCGTGTAATCAGTCGATCATTAAATCTCCCTAGATATTTAAAAGATGCTATTTAGCATGTTGCAAAAATTGCAATTTATATTGCAATCTTCTATGCAACTGTGCTACACTTGTATTAGGAAGTAAATTATTTGTCATTTTTGCTGATACTAATGAAATAATACAAATATAAATTAAATAATACAAATTAATTTTTCAAAGTACTTTAATTAATTTTAACAAGTACAAATTTTATGAAGAGATTGTAAAAGAAAAAAAATATATGATTAAATTTAACTCTTGTTTATAATTCGATTATTTTGCTTATTAATATTCTGTTATATAATTTTGCAAAATTTTTGTAATTCTTATTATAATTATCGAAAATTTTATTTGTGAAAATAGAATTATTTTATGTGGGAAAATAATAAAATAATAATTACAAAAATGTTTCATATCGTGCTAAACGTATTTTATTCAATATTTATAATAATAATTGTTATAATGCCATTATTAATTATAATTATTAATTAGTTATGGAAACACAGTAACATAAGATACAATAAATAAATGAATTAATACATCGATAAATTAAAATAAAATGATTCATAAATTTAAATCATCAAAATCTCTTCACCATTACTATTTAATAAATATACACATGAATAATTTACATTATATAAAATAATTTATATTATATTAATTTATATTATATAAATCTCTTTAAATATAATGTGAATATTTCAGTTATATATATCTTCACATCCAATTATAAGTAAACAATTGTGTATGCTACATATGATATATCAATTTAAATATAATAAGTATATAATAAGTATAAAAATTTAAATATAAAAAATTTTCATATCATGTGACTATTTATTTGATAAGAGTCTGAATATACAAAAGCTCGATTGTTTCAGCATGACGTCTTCGACACTCGGTACGATCAGTCGGATACTCGGCCATTCGTAACGAATGTTCAGGAAGTAAAGTTTTAAGAGTCGATTTTTATAGGTTGTCTCAAAATTAACGCACCATTAAAAATATATAGATTTCTTTAGAGATGGATGGACTAGATTAATATCATGAAAATTTGATTTTATCGTGAAAATGATAAATAAATCTGTCATTTATTATTTAATTCTTCATCTCTTGATTTACTTTTGATAAAATTTTAATTTAATTAATTATTTAATTCAGTTACACATTTAAAATCGTTCTCTTGGAAAGTATATCTTGGAAAGAATATTCTCAATTTAAATAAAAGATTAAACTCTTTGAAAAATATAAAAAATAATATTTGGCCAAATATTTCGCAAAATTAATTACATGTGAAAACAATATGTAATATTTTTCTAATGTCTCTAATCTCTTTTCTTTTTAGGTTTATTATAAATTATGTGAATTAAATAAAAGAGAGAGAAAAAAGAGATAAATTTATTGTCGTTTCTTGCAACATTTTTATAAAAGTTAAGCTCTAAAATTAATTTATATTGTAATTGAATAAAATGTCCAATTGGAAGGGCAATAGAGCACCATCATCTTTTTGGAGCAATCTTCTTTATCGTGCTCCACATGTTTACGATTTGTTTCATGCTCTACATATTTATAATTTATGTCACGTTAATAGCCGGTATTTCAAATGGATAACTTACGTATAATGCACGTCTTCTCTCATTTGGGCGATCCTGTAGAAGCCGGCGCCGAACTAACGGCGAATAATTCCGCTTGCGTGGGCTCGTATAATTTACGCGAGCAGACGACGCGAATTTATTAAAGTCGAATTTCTCTAAATACCGAAGAAAATTTTCTTTCCAGTAGAAAGCACTCCTAGATTTATTTTCCTCACGCGAGCGTGTCTAGCTTTGGTAAATAAATGTTCGTCCAAATTTATTCATTAGCCTTATCTAAAGATGCCTCTCTATTTTCATTCACATCATTTAATAATTATTTCAAAAAAATCTCATGAGTACAAAAATTTCGTGATACAAATATTATTAATATTGATTCTATATTAATTATTATTAATTGGTTATATTTTTTGTTTAAGAATGATAGAATAAAATGGCAGAACTGTCACTTTTCGATGTACAAAGTAAAGAATTTTCGAAAAATTTTTTGCTAATTTCTTAACAAGTCGATATTGAGCAATAAAGTGCTTTCTCGCTACTTTTTTTCTTATCGAGAAAAAAATCGACATACTTGGTCTGAGATTAACAAGTGTCGTGGATGGGAATGAAGCTCGATGGATATTCAGGAATACAGTGCAGTGCATGCCATTTGACCGTAAGCCAAGCCAGCTGTTGACTTAGTTTCTTTTTATATCATGCAGTTTAGCTACGGCATTATTGCGCTATTACTGTCGGGTGTTAGGCATTGTTGGGACAGTTTAACGGGGAGAGAGAGAGAGAGAGAGAGAGAGAGGAAGAGGTAAGTACGGCAAATGAGGCCGTTGTCCACTGGTCCGCTGTACGGTTTGTTCGTTGGATGAAAATCGGGATAACTTTGTACATACGTGCGTGTTTGCAGTATAACATCTTGGTTCCCTGCCAAGTATGTACTCTTTGTGCCTTAACACGACTCGAATTAATTGTAGCCGTTGTACGCGGCTTTCCGTCGTAAACATTTGCCGCCGAGCAACGCAGAGTAAGGTATTAATTATTCGCACCTTCAGATGTATTCGTGATTATACGCGATTCGGATTACAATAAATAAAAGAGGAGAGCGATTACATTTTTAAAACGTATTGCGATGAGATGATCGAGATGAAGACTATCAAATGTTACAGATTATTTAACATGTAAACAGAAATTCAATTATTCCATTTCAGCGGATATCTTAATAGATTTTTACATTTTATTCTTCAAAATTATATATATTTACATATATATTTTTATTACACGTGATCGTATGATCTTAAGGTTAACATAACATGATCTTTGTATATGCAATATATCACTTGATGTATTATCTGCTTAAATAAATAATAAACAGAAATAGTTAGTTTTGATTATTTATCCTCTTAAAGCGAGAGATATAAGAATCTATTTTGATGGGTGCATGTTCTATTTAAAGAAATTTCTGTTGTTTATGCGGAGATATGTAATATAATTAAATTAATATTATATATTAGATTTGAATGCGTTAAATTAAACGTGTCTTTTACATTTTTTTGACTTGTTAATTTAATAAGATAATTTTATTTTCACGCTTTTGCGTGCCCCTATGGGAAGATCACCATGCATACATTTATGCATTAAATTACGGTACGTACGCGATGATTAATTATGGGCACAGACATTTTTTCTTGAAGGCAATGACAATAGATGGAAAAATTCTATTCTTTAAAGAGGATAATTTTCTTCTATTATTTTCACATCTGTTATATTAAAATTTTAAAATTTCTGATATTTATCTAATTATTAGATTGTATATACATATATAGGTACATACAAAAACATTAAAAATAAATTTCCTATCTTTAAATGTTGTTAAACAATTAAAATAAATGAATTGAAATAATAATAAGAAAAAAATTGCAGCATAAAATTTTATATATACACAAAACTTTCATTCAATTTATTTAGATATGTATCAAATGTTTATTAGAACATATGACAGATCACTTCTCATGATGTGTCATGATGTGATTCAGAGAAATATATAATATATATAATAATATTTTATAATATTTAATATAATATTATATTTAATATAATATAATATTTAATATAATAATATTTTATAATATATATTATAATATACATTATATAATAATATATTTTATAATACTTATAATAATATTTTATATTAATATATATATATATATATATATATATATATAATATTTAATAACATATGACATACATGAAACTGTAAGCTCTGCATAAGATTGGAAAAGAGAAAAAAGGAATAAAAAATGGGATTATACATAAAAAAGAAAGGTATTAGCTACAGTTAAAGTTACTAAAGAAATCGTTGAAATTAAACGAAAAAAATTAAAGGAACTAAAATACAGAGAGCATATGTAATTTTATAAGTGTGATTTAGATAAATATATGGTTCTCTAGGTTAATCAATCTATTTTTAGTATTTCTTCCTGTTTGTCACTTCTCCTATATTGCCTATAAAAGCACTGATTTTTTCCTATATCGTAACTCTTCGTTAGATAATCTTATCCGCCTGAAACTTGTGTATGACACAATTTATCCGTATTTTTCCGAATAATTTATTTCAACATTATATCTTGAGATACTCTTGAATGACATGAGTGATATAATAAGAGATTATATACTTACTTAATTTTTGCATGATCTGTCACCAATGTTTGGTAATGTTAGGCATGTTTAAATAGAAGAAAGATCGAAAACTAGTGATTATTTTCTGATAAAGAGACGTGAAGTCAATAATAGAGTTATATTATCAGCGATAATAAGGAACATAGAATGTCTAACAAATAGGAGGACCTTCGAAAACTGTAGTAATTATTTTCTGATAAAGAACTGTGGAGCCAATGAGAGTTATATTATCAGCGATAATAAAGAACTAAAATTTTAATGAATCAAAATAATCCATCAACAACAAGTACATATATTATCTATGTAAGAAATAAAAATTGTTTTAGTACACTGAAAAAATTGTATTCTAAACTTAAGAATACGCCACTTATCTTTAGAATATGTACTAAAATAGGCGCCAAGAGGATCTCCTCTTGGCGCCTATTTTAGTACATATTCTAAAGATAAGTGGCATATTCGTAAGTTTAGAATACAATTTTTTCAGTGTAGGATTACTCATTCAAGTTAGATAAAAGAATTTAGTATAGTTAGCATGTTAATGAAATTCATAATTTTAAATGTGACTAAAGAATTAATGCTTCAAAAGTTTTAATTTACATCTAAAATAATTTTCTTCTAATATAATCTTAGATTTAATAATCTTCTTGTCAATTATTTATATACATTTCTTTAAAAAATCTCTATATTGAGCTCTTCTCTATTCGAGTTTCGTGTATTTCCTCCCAAAACACCAGTCAAGAAAAATATTATTTAATTCGTGTTATTACAACTTGAGTATCATTAGATAACAAATCTTAGGGGAGATATCGATCACTTTGGCATGACATGATTCAAAGGTACTTTTAGAGCTGATAAAATAATAATAATAATGAAAAGTCGTTATAATTAATAATAATAAAAGAGAAATAAAAATTATTAAATTCAATATATGAATATAATTTAAAAAATTATATTAACATTTATAAAAATTATATAAATTGAACTCTTTCATATATAAAAAGAAATTAGAGAAAAATGTGTTAGCAAACTGTGTTAACTTTTCTGCGTAAGAATTTTGCCAATTTTCTTCCTCCTCTGTCTCTACCGGTATTTATTATTTTTAATATATTTATATCAGTTTGAGATAAAAGTTTTATGAAGGAAAAGATTTAAACAAATTGAAATTTTTAAATAATTTAGCGATAATTAAATTTTTATCAAAATTTTATAAAACACTTATTTCGATTTAATTCTTCACTTAAAATTTGCTACCTTCATTTTATAATTTAAATAACAGAAATATTTTTAACAAAGAAATTTATATTTGTTCTCTGTATACTTTTAGTAATTATACATATATAATGCTTATATATAAAATATAAATTGAAGACTGAGAGTTATCGCATTCTGAGAATATCTTGCTTATTAAGGATTAATTAAAGACAAATATCGTTAAATTCCTCAAATTAATCACCAAAGTGCATAATCAGAATTGTGGCGATTCTCATATCGTCTTGTCAACAAGACCTTGCAAGAATGCAAGAGACAGCGGATTTTTTCGGATAATTAATTATCGGTAGATTACCAGGACCAAATTGTTAGATTACAGACCCGTGCGAATCTTCGTGTCGCGATGCGCGTATTCCGCGGGCTATGCATTTACATACAATACACGTGAGTTCGCGGGCTGAGCTCTTACATCAATGGCCGCACACCTGCATCCCAGGTGCACGTGCACCAGTGCGCGATCACGTGCAAGGCAAAAGCCGGGCCGGGGCTTGATTATCCGTTGCTCGCCCTGTTAAACCGTCGATGCGATCGCGAACGGAATCGCAGGCCTCCCGGTGCCTTGGCACCCTCGAGATCCGCGCGCGTGCAACGAGAAGAGAAGCTTTAGCTCTAATCAGTTATTACAAGATAGACAATAATTATACGACGGGCAATTGATTGCCGGTGCGCATGGCTAGTATCTCCTGGCGATACCGATCCGATATCGACGCTTTACACAGAGATTTGTCATGCAATTCCTAGAGATTTGATAGATATGTGCTCCGACTTTATATTCTTCTTATGCGACAAATTTTTCCCTGATTATTTATTTAAGAAAAAAATACACTTGTGTACTGTGATTCTATTAATATTCGTGCTCGTTGTAATAGAAAAAACTTGTGTTATTATAATACAGCTATTTTATTTTGTTATGTGTCATTCATAAAAATGAGATTTTATATAATACATACGTAATATTATTAAATTAATAGCAAAATAAAATAAATAAAATAAAAATAAAATAAAATAAAAGAAATAAAATAAAAATAATAAAAAAGAATTTTAATTTTTTAAAAATATATTTTTATTTTAGGAGAAAATCGAAAATTAATTAAAATTTAATACGAAAATCGTTAAACCAATTTTCTTATTTCATTTTATTTATAAAAATTATTATTTATGCACTTTGTTGAAATGCAAAATTGATACACATTTGTTGAAATGTTGAATATAAAATATTTGAAAATAGGTAAATGAGAAAATATCTAGATGCTGACAAATGTGTTTGTTCGAAGTTTTTTTTATAGTAAAAATATTTTGACAAAATCAAGATAATAGTGTCTATTTCTCGTCGGCTACAAAAGATACGATACGGTTTACCTGTACGTTGGATCTTGATTGCATTGTTTACAGGTGTTAAAGGGTGGATCAATCATAAACATTGTATATAGAGAGCGAAAATACTGTGACCTCTAGATTAAATCAATGATAATCGACTTCTCGACTGACCTTCGAGTTATTGATGCAATACGAAAGAACACGTGTAACTTACTTTTGACCGGTTTTTTAGAAGTAAAATTTGATATCAATATCAGAAAAAGATATTTTTACCACATAGCACGTCGACCTTTTTCTTTTCTTAAGCGTAATTATCAAAAAATTACGCTTTTATTATCTTTAAATAGCGATAAATTCTGAACTCGTTTAATTTTTAAAAAGGTTTTGCTGCCTTGACATATGTCTACATATATTGTATATTATTATCAAAACTAAATTATACATGTCTTTGATTAACTGAAATAAATGCAATTATTATGTTGTCATACTCTGTGATTGCGTTAATTAAAATAAAAAATTTTTTTATCGTAATGTTTCGAGATAAAGCAAAATCTACTCTTTAAAACTGACGAATATTGGGAGTATACTCACTTTAATCGCTGCTTCCTTGTCTCTCTGATTTTTTTTTATATATACCCAGCGATGATTCGTGTTTCTTTTGGTTCATGATAAATAACAATAATAATGCCATTAATCGACCAGCAGAAAAATACACGATCACAATCTTCAAGTCCCGCCCCTTCCATCAACGCGTTGCCTATATAAAAATCGCACATAACCGACGCACAGGAACGTCGCGAGAACATTTCGACTTGGTTCGACTTGAGGCGCAAATCTTCCCGTGTCTTCTCGACACCCCCGGCAACATCGATTTCGAGACGGAAGACTTCGCGGTCGGTGACGTAGTCGTGGCAAGAGAAGCAGCGAGAACTTTGTGGTAGGGACAACTGAAACTAGTTTGTTTTCATCTCTTTCGACAGACACATATCGCGAGTTTTCCTGCGACATAGTAACACGATCGACGTCGATCCGGACGCTCCACGTCCTCTTTTTCGGCTCCATTTTGCATTCGCGTCCTCCCGACGTCCATCTGCCGAGACGTCTCTCCCTCGATACACATTCGTGTAACGCGCGGCCTCGTCGTTCACGATTATTATAACGATATTTTGCATTGGATCGCATCTAAAAAATCCTGCTCGTTCCTCCTCGAAGCGAGAGATCCAATCGCCATTTCGTATCGCGATCCGCGAGACAACAGCTGATCTCTACCTCGCGAGAAACGTCATTATTTTGCGAAAATTTGCAGGAAACTCTTGGGGGAAAGAAAGAAAAAGCAGTGAAATCTTCCTGCGCGCCAAGTTAGAGAAGAAGCGTCTTTTCCTCAAAAAATAATTCGCAAGGTAAGTCCTTGTCTCATTCTTACCCGATTTGTCATTACTTGTCGAAATGCGAAAGAATTATCATTTTTTTTTGCGATATTTTCGAAAAATCTGTTGTTATCTTTTTCTCTAATAAAATACGTTTTTTTAATTATAATGAATAATGCTTAATAAATAAGCAAGTATAAATAATTGGCTGCGACAGCACCAGAAGGACTCGACAATTTTTTGCCATCTATGTTCGACACAAAAAATGCAGTGTTTTCGTATAAGCAATATTTGCTCATTCCTAGATATGAGAAATTAAAATACCAATTAATTAATAGAACATAATATTTGGATATAGTTTGCACTAGTTACAGATATCGAAAATATTTTAACTATACTTATACTAGTTACAGATATCGAAAATATTTTAATGCATGGGCGCACTTATATAAACAGTGTATCACATAATGATAACCCGTTTTACTTCTCTTAAAAAATTAGTGAATATCATTTAGTTATCGTTACTGGTAAAAAGTTTATAATCTAGTTTCGCTAATTCTCTTAAATTCTCCTATTGTTAATTATTTATATATTTTATATTTCACGTAAGAGAGGGAGTTCTCCATCTTACATGGATACACTGCGATTAATTAAGTATCATTCGCTGGATGTCAAAGTTAATTACGAAAAATTAAAATATTATACTCGTACAAAATTGTTCATTGAAGATTAAACTCTTTTAGTGACATAAAAACTTTTTTAAACATCAAATAACTAATTGACAATTAAATTAGTGAGTTCTTGAGTATTTTGAACGCAACGTAATGCTCATATAAAAATCTATTTTCTCAATATATTATTTTATTTACGCATTATACGTATAATTTTTTAAGGTTCTTCCATTTACATATTTTTTTACAATTTTTAGAGAAAAAGTAAAAATGCTATGAAAAATGTTTATCTACAAAAGCTATTCAATTTTTTTTCTCAATATACTAACTTTTCAAAATGTAGCAGTTAAAACTGGAATTAAATGATAAATATATAATTGATTTTTGCCACGCAAAAATATCAGCCGAGGTTATCGCTTATATTGCTCAACAAAAAATTAAACATGAACAAACATGAAATTTAGACATAATATCAATCATGACATAATCCATAGATTCGATAATAAGTCGCTTCCAAACCGTGTAGTATATTTGATTGGTTACGATCTTTATTATTTCATTCCAATATTCCGGATTATGATTGCAACATCGTTAATTATCCGCGGTGTTTCGTGTTCGGCGTGATACGTGACAAGTACGTATATAAGTCGACGTAGCGTGATCCGTCAGGAAAGCGCGAAAGCTCTGTACGGCACGCGTTTCGACGGCGAAATTTCTAAGCGAATGCGTAGCTAAATGCGCACTCGTGCTCGTATATCTGTATAACGTGTGGAATGACGAATTGCCGTCAGATGCTAGCACGATTAAATGCTGACAATTCCTCGGCGTGGCATACACGCAGAAACGGTGTTTTCGACTAAATCACGACGATGATGAGATCATTACTCAAATTAAAGGAAGAGGCGGAGATATCGAGGTCGTCCCGTCGCTCTACTTCATTCAGTATGGATTTTATCGAACAGGTTTAGTTGATCAGAAATATCTACTTGAATCTTGTAAAAAAATTCTCCGATCTTCCTGATATTTTTGCTCAAAATTCCACATAAAAGGAATATTTTAAAGTATCTTTTAGAGCGCAACTTTTTAAAGTTTTTTTCATTGTGTGGATTTTCTAATACTTTACATTCATACGAAACAAAAAACGCAAAGCTGCTTAAGTTTCAAGTGCTAGATTTGCATATATATTGGAAAAAATTGAATAGCTTTCGTAGATAAACGTTTTTTATAACATTTTCATTTTTTTATTATAAACTACAATCAAAAATGTGTATTATATATATCCAATATTTTATTAAGACTTTAAATATATAAAGAGAGGTAGATATACACAGTAAAAAATTGTGCGTCCGTGTGTTAAAATTTTCTTGTGTTACCGCGTTTTGGTTAGTACTTCAATATAAAATTAACATATAACTGATATATTATTATTTTTATAACGTTTTCATGTGTTACATTTATGTCAATTTAACACTTTGTATATGTCTCTTGAAAATGGAATATTATTTTGAGTATTTTTAACATCATTTTAAATAATTAATATGTCTCAAAATTTAACATTTTAAGAAAAGTTAAAGTAAATCTTGAAATAATCCTGAACTTTGGCACATAAAGTAATCAAATTTATTAAAATCAAATGTTTCTATTACAAATAATTAAAGTCAAAATAATTACTGTTATATGTTAATGTCCTACAATTTTTACGAGTTATTGTAACTATTTTTTTATGTAAGTTTTAATTAATTTGTATGTTATTTTTACATTACACTTAAAGTCACGGTACCAAAAATAAATGTAAAATATAATGTCAATTATTTAACATTTTTAGTTTGTTAATAAGTAACATACGACGAATGAGTTATTTTAACTTAAACTTTAGAATAAACTTTCTGGGACATGTGAAAAATATTATAATTAACATTTTATTTTTTACTGTGTATATTTAATGCATAATTCACTTGACTTCCTAATTGTTTATAATAGGAAAGTAAAATTACTAGAGAATTTTTTTTTAAATTCACGATATCCTCCAATTTTTAAAAAAATTCCATGAGAATTTTCTAATTTTTTCCAGGTAAAAAAAATCCCTGAGAAATATAGATTCTCTATGTTTTTTTCAAGGAGTAAATAGGAGTAGATCCCTGTTAACGCGGGGTTGACGCAGGGTTGTTGGTTTTGCGTAATGACGAAGGTGATGTTGTTGCGCGATAATTCTTTTAGCTTTCTAACGCCGGCGAGTCATAACGATGAAGTTTCCCTTCGTCGACGATTCGTCGCGTGTAAACACGAGGTTGTTGTTCGGATAATATCCTTGGAGGATATCGTGAAGTAGAAACAGACATTGCTCATGTTCGTCGCCGTCGCTAATTTTTGCCGACTTTACTTTATCGTTGTTGCGAGATCGCCCCTCGAAAAATAGTATACGCCTTGTAATTGGAGAACAATCGGATGGGGGTGCAATAATTAACGCAATCAATCGCGCTTTCTACGTCAGCCATCGAGACATCGTTTACTGTAAATATTCTTGAAAGAGTGAAAAAGGAGAAAATTTGGAATTTGTTAGATGGATTTTCATAGATAAAAAATTATTAAATTTTCTCAGATAAACAATTTTGACAGGCATAGCGATCTCGAAAAATTCGTGACGAGCCACACAAAAGCAAGAACTGTAAGAGCCGCGTCAACTGGTTAATAAAATGATTATGTATCTGCAAGTGTCTAGCGCAATGAAACAATGGCGCTTATTCATTTCATTTCGCGATCACCCTTTTCTCTCCCTCTGGATGCGATTTATTTTCCTAATTCTTATTCCGGTGTCTCCTCTGATACGAGCCATTATATCTATTTTATTTAATGTTGCAGATAATAATAATTTTTTATTGTGCGTCTACAAAGTGATTTTACGTGCGGAACAATTTATAATTATATAAATTAATAATAATAACAATTTATTATAAAATATTTATAAAATATTATAAAATATTTATAAAATATTTATAAAATATTATAAAAAAATTATAAAATAATTATATAAATTATTTATAATGAAACAATTTTTCGAAGATAAGACTTACATCTAGTATAACATTATTAATTTTGTGTAAGAAATATTTTTTAAAATATTGAAAAATTTAAAATTATTAGCATATATTTCTATAATATTTTGTAATTTATTTTTTTTGCATTTTTACTCATTCTTAATATTTTAAATTCTTATGTTAAGCTTCATAAGAATATAAATAATTACGTAAAATATAAATTTTTCATTAAATCTATCATATGATTTACATGAATAAATTGCATTATTCGCACTTAAAATTTAAATAAATTTAATAACACTATAAGAGGTATCTCCTTGATGCGCTCGAAAAGTCTTTATCTAATCTGCATAGTTGCAATTCTTATTCAACGTCGCGTTTTTTTCTAGGATACAGTTTGTAATAATAATTTTCAATCGTATAATCTAAAAAACAAATAGGATGTAATAAAAAAGAGCGTATTATAAAGCAAACGGGACGTAAACAGAAAAATATCAGAGAAAGGATGTCTCCCACGTAAAACTTTCACGTTCCTTGATCGTTAGACAACGGATTACTTTGTTTTCCGCATATTTCTTCGAAATCGACTCTCGCTGCGCAGTACTTTGCACAAGATAACGGACAGTTATCATTGTTAACAGTTCTATTTCTATTTCAACACTTCACTGTTATTACATTATTGGAATCAGCGAGTGTCGTCTAGCATATTTTCATTTTAATCGGGGCGCGATGCGCCGACGTGCAGCTTAATTGCCGGAATTAATAATTCATTGCAAAATGCAATAGGTATTTATTATACTCGATGAATTACGTGACGTAGAATCTCGCCCTGGGCGAATATTCGAGATGGATTTTACATGGACGCTCTTCAACATTTCTTTTGTAATGAACAGCGATTACAAATTATATAGATAACAACCAGCTACGCATTAACTGGAAATATGTGCACATTGTAGATTATTTATTAGGGTCAGCTGAAGAGTAATGCGATAGGATTTTATTCATTGATATTAAACCCGTTGCTACGTGCAATTTATATATTGCAAAATTCCATAAAACACTTGTGATAAATCATGGTAAAATATTTTGTGTAATTTTTCAGCATTGCAACGTGTATTTACGCAGCTGAGGACTCTTGACCTAACCATGAGAAACGTTCAGTTGGAATATTCGTTTTTGTTTCTCTTTATTTGGAAGTTATTTGTCGTAATCGGAAATGCGTATCCAGTCATCGATTTAGAGAACGAAGAGATTCCAAATAATATAATTAAAAAAGATATTTCGACGCATAACGCAGTCGTACCGGATCCAACTTATACATGTGTACATATACCATCGAATTTAAAGCCATGTAAATTTGGCAGGTAAGAGAAATGTCAAAGCAATTTTCAGAAAAATATCAACATCTTCAAGGAAATATTTTTATTTCCTTTCTCTAAATTAAATTTCAGGAATGTATGATAAATTTTTTACATTATAAGCACAAATTTTTATATCATAAATTATAATTACAATATTTTATTTTCCGTTAACAAGCAAAACTTTAGAATTTTAATATTGTTTTCTCTTGAAGATTAGTTATTAATATTTAAAATTAGTAAGAATATCCCGTTCTGTCTGTTTCTTTCTCATTTTTAAAAAGATAATATGTTTATATAATTTCTGATGATTTTTATTTTAGTTATGATAAAATCAAAGAAAATCGGAACTTACATATATGGGCAGAGGAAGAAAAGCAGGAACTGTCTAAAAGTAATACTAATAGTAATAAAATATTCTATGCACATGCATTACCGATGAATCTTGAAGAAACTGACAAGCACATAAATACTATAATATATGAAATACTAAGATGCGTGCCGGCAAGGTAAGATTAAAAAATTGATTTTAAATGACTATGTTTCATCTTTTACGATAACACGAGAGAGAAGCAGCACAATAAACCACAATGTCAAGATATTAATAAGAGAATATTAGAAATGATTATATTATATTAAATAGATTTTTGTTTCTATCAATTTCGCAGACTGCCGTTTATTTTACCTCGGTGCACGGACGAAGATCTCACTAACGAGAAGAGCGAAATTCAACGGCTTTATCCCTTCAAACCAGACGAGGATTTTTCGAAAGCAGCATATCAATTTCCAATGTATAATTTTTCTCATAATCTCGAATAGTATCGAGATCTATAGCTTTAAGGGATAGAATCGAGATCTTTAAAGGATCCACCCTCTATTATTTGGCATAATAATGTTATTATTTACTAGAGCGATCTGAAGGGATTCTATGATGAGCGATCTGAAGGGGCTCTATAGTGTTGTGCATTGATGCCATCGATGAATTCTATCATTTGTTAACCACATGACTTGTTAACCTGATTGCCTTTGATTCTTCTTCACATCACCTTTCTTCACACCATCATCTTGGATAAAGCTAAAACATACATCTCTTAATTCTTATATATTAAAATATGTTATTTTACATATATACAGGGTGTTTCATAAGTGGTGGACAAAATTTCAGAAATGGATTCCTCATGTTTAGAGAAGAAAAAAAAGTTAATCAACATAGGTCCGGAAATGATTAGTTTTTGAGTTATTAAGATTTTTATAATACAAAATTTTGTCTTATTTCTCGTCTTAAAAGTCAACAATGTTTTTCAGACCGCCGAACTTGAAAAACATTGTTGATGCCTGTAAAAGAACTTCTAAGACAAGAAATGAGACAAAATTTTATATTACAAAAATCTTAATAACTCAAAAACTAATCATTTCCAGATCTATGTTGATTGACTTTTTTTTTCTTCTCTAAGCATGAGGAATCCATTCCTGAAATTGTGCCCACCACTTATAAAACATTCATATCCTATGATCCAAAACGTACTCTCCGAAGAAAATTTTACTCGATAGCTGTTCCGAAACTCTTTCCGACTGGTTCGAATCAGCCATCGAGTAAAATTTTCCTCGGTTACTGCGTTTTGAAATTATAATAAATAAATATTATCGTGAACGATATCATTAATGTGATTATTAGTACGTTGGCAGCACTTTTTAATCGTATATATGTACAACATTAATGATATTAATAAATATATATGTACAATATTAATAATATTAATAATATATATATATATATATATATATATATATATATATCAATATTATGAAATTTTATAAAATAGTATAGAAAAATTATTTCTAGCGCAAAATAAAATTGCGATTATTGATATATTAGAGAATTGGGAAAGGAAAAATAAGAAAATATATCTTAATCTCTCAATATTTTTATATTGAATTTTTATATTGAATTAATAAAATATAAACATTGAATTTTTTTATATTGAATTAATAAAATATAAAAAAAATGTAAAAACTTTTTACGTTGAATTAATGAAATATAAAAAAAATGTAAAAATATAATGTATATCCAAACGTAAAAATATATATCATTGTATTCCAAGAACAGTGTTTCTTTTTTCCAACTTCATTAACATTATCGAAAATGATGGCTGTAAAAGAACGAGGATGCATCGCGTATATTTCAAAGTAATATCGGAGCATGATGAAGCATCAAGAGAAGCCTGTGTGCGAGGAAAAAGATTGGGGAAGGAAAATCGACCAAAGAGTATGATCTGTGGAAAGCGTCACGAAGATCCGGCGGGGACATACATCGAATGGTCCTGAAAAATATAAGGTCATCTACGCTCACAAGTCGACGAAGGCGAGAATGAGCAACGATGCGCAATAAACGAAACGAGGGGTACCTTACGAGGTGCACCTTCGATTTTTACGAACGAGCACCCAAAGCATCGAAGAAATTTCGAACAAAATATGTAATCGAGCGAAAGATTATTACTTATTAAAGATTTGACACTTATTAAAGATTGTTACCAAGCGAAAGATTACTTCTTTTCGGAATTAATCTCGGTTTACTCTTAATAAGATAGACATTAATAATGATATAGTAATTATCATATTAAGAGGCTGACAAGAATAAGAAACTTTGTAGTAATAAAAAAGATTCAATTTTAAATTTATATTCTCTCATTTGCATTTAAATATCTTATCGCGAGGATACATTGTAAGTTATACACAGTGTGTTAAATTAAAAGACTTCGTAATCAATATACTTAATTATATTGTTTGAAAAAATGCTTATATATAACTATACGTATTAAGATAATTTTATTCTTTTATCATTTACATATAAGTCTAATAATAAAAAGATTTTTTTAAATATACGTCAGACGTAATTAGTAAATGGCTGTACGGAAGATAGCTGGTTGAATCACTCGAACTTTTGAACTTCTGACTTTAATTTCGACATTATGTATAACTACGTTTTATGATTAATTTGATTTTTTTGCCAAAGCCTAACTTTTCTCATTTGAGAAAGATAATAACTTAATATAAACAGATTCGACTAACCAATTGCAAAAGCGGTTCCAATTAAAACTGAACTTGACCTTCGGTTATCTAATAAACATTTATCGTTCGTTTCGCTACAACTAACTTCACAAAGTAGATATATAAAATAATCAAATATAATATAGTATGTTAAATAATAATTTGAAAAATTAATAAGATCATTTATTTTTATTGCAAAAGACTTATTAATATAATTGTAAAATTATTAATAATAATTATTAAATTATTAATATAATTTTACATATAAAGAATATGAATTATACGAAGTTAGAAGGAGTATAAGCTCATGTTTCCCCGAGTAGAATAACAAAGATATTGTCCGACATATTCGCATTATTGTGTTCGGCTGCAATCTTGGATTCTTTTCCCTTCTTGCTTTTGATTATATTTAATAATTTTGATTTATTGGAAATGCTTCTTTCTTTCGAATCTCTTTAATCTTAATATCTTTTCATGTATCTTTTCTTTCTTTTGAACATCATTTTCAGATTTAGCAGAATCAATTTTCGAATCATTTTTCAAGACGAGCGCTCTCGTATTAAGGATGTTTTGTTTGTACAATCCCAGCAAAAAGTAGATGAAAATCAATATTGACGAATATATCCACTTTTGGTGTATTTTGAGTAAGAAATTGTGTGGAATTACAACTTGATCTTAGCTACAGTGCAGAGATGTATTTTTTAATATTTATTGCATTTTTACTGAAATATTTCGAATTTTGTTAATCGAAATAATTAACTTTTGACAGAGAATTTCGCCTTGTGACAGATACATGGCTAACTTCATTGAATTATATTTAATATCTTTTTAACCAGTTAGTAAGACTTGTATAATATTATTTGACCAAATATTTCCTCTGCATCTAAACTTTTGCAAATTTTAGACAAATTCTGAATATTATTTCCATGTGTTTTTGTCATTTGAATCGACGTGGTTATACGTATCCCATAAGAATACATGTTAATTCGGTGCAAATTAAAATCCTTATAACTTGTGAACGCTTTAGTGAATCGATTTAAAAATTGTACTAAAGATTCTAAACATATATAAGGACATTCTGTACAATTTTCATTAAATTCTCAATTTTTTTAATTTTTTTAATATTTTGAAAATAGATACAAAACATCCTTAATTTCTCGATCGACATTGAATTTGATCGATTGTTCTTGTTCAATTCTCTCTTATCGTTTCTTTTATGAAGATCGCGAAGATATCGTGAAGCAGATCGTGAAGATGTTTAAGAAAGCAAGCCTTTACTTTGGCAATCATTTCTGCATTTTTGTCTAATGAATCGTGTAAAAAATCGATGCCATCATACTTGTTTGCTTGATCGTAGGGATTTTCCGGCTCTGAATCTGTAGAATGCTTTAGATATCCCTTTTTCGATCGTGTGAATCATTCATCCTTTATCCTCTCAGATCGAGCGTCCTGTTTTTTCGGAGGTTTATCAGACAGATCTGGCAACAAGAGATCTGTAAAGAGCCTTCGAAGAACACTTTTTACGTTAAGATTGTTTAATAATGTATCGACCAATTGCCACTTTTTCAAACTACTGATTTTACAATGTATCGAAGGGGGCAGTCGATGACATTTACTGGCTCGATCTCAGGCTCGCGAACCATATCAAACTTTGCTCGAGACGAATTGTATTTAGCGACGAGCGGATGCAGTTTCCTCAAGAAGGTAGAATCTTGCAGAGAATCCAACTTATTTTCTGCGATTATTTTCAGTTCTGTCCCACGCGACTCGCTGCGAGTCAACTCGTCTTCCTCTGTCGCAGGCTTAGGACTTGGGGCTTGACCCAGCGCACAGGGATAGCCCGATGTCGGGCAAACATCCTCGCGTCATCAAAGTGGCGGTCACCGGCGAGTCCAGGACCCTCGTAAATCGGTGATCCCGCGTTTGTACCTTCAAGTCCCGACCCGGTCAAGTGGCTGTCTCGTTTGGCGAATCGCCGTTCCTGCTCGTCGTTCAACTCCGGTGTTTTCGGCCGCAATTTCGACTCCCTGCCAGGGTCCGCCAACTCGTCATCGATCATCAAGTCCGAGGATTCGAGCGGCGACGTGCCGACAACGTTGGGGAACAATATCTCGACACCGCTAACGATCTCCTGCCGCTCGTCCCCCTTTGAGGTTTCACCTATCTTCAATTTAATTGGTTTCGTTTGATCGGGTTCGTCCGGATGCTCGTATTCCGTTTGGAATTTTCTCAGCGAGGAACAGGAGGGTACGTCCTTTTCAGCCATTATACAGATCGGTTGACGCCACTTCGTCGTCACCCGAGCTTCTTCCTCCTGGATAGGTTCGCTTTCCGTCCGGAAACGAGTCAAATCCACGTGTAATCCGAATATACTCGAAGCCAGAAGTAACATCGCCAATAGACAGTTCATGTCATGGTTGTGTAAGTTTGATCGAAACACTATCTTTCCAACCTTACGAAAATGAAAGGCACGTTACGCGAACCTTGGAGATAAATTGAGCTTTTTTTAGAGCACACGGATACTTTTATAGTTTGAAGGAATAAATGAGGTCTTCAATTTTCGAGGATGGGACAGCAATTTGCCTTCTTAATGATACGATATCTAGGAAAATGGATGATTGCACGAATGATTCAATGGCTTTACATATCTGGTAGGTAGATTTACTGTGCACTAATGGTTGCCAATTAATGTCGCATTAATCACCTAGAAGAGGAGGAAGGCGCTTTTACTTGGACATGGTACCTTTGACTTTGTCTTAAATTTATTGGCTGTAAAACTTAGGAAAAATATTTGAAGTACTTAAGACATTTTTACATTCCAGTGACATCTGGCTGAGAAATTTAGATGTGATATGTAAAGATATATCGAATGTTTCAAATCTTTTCTCTCCCTCTCTTTCTTTTGTAATAAATATATACAAGGTCTCCCAGACCATCCGTACACTCCTTTTAAAATGAAAATAAATGGCTTTTATCAAAAATCGCGAACAATTTTTAAGTAAATACGCTCTATCAAATGGTGATATTTTTAACTTTTGATTCCGACCGAAAATATGCCATCCGGATCGGAAGTTGAATTTTTTTAGGGGAACACTTTTTATTACAGATTCGAATTGTACGTGAAAAAATAAGAAACTTTTGCATCAAACATTTTTTCTAAAAGCGCCTCTGTCAATCTTCATTCAGTTCATTATTTCATCACAGTTACTTTCAAGGTCAATTTTAAGATTGCAGAGGCACTTTTAGAAAAAATGTTTGATACAAAAGTTTCTTATTTTTTTCACGTACAATTCGAATCTGTAATAAAAAGCCATAAATATCAGTAATAAAAATTTCATCTGTAATAAAAAGTTTCCCTAAAAAAATTCAACTTCCGATCCGGATAGCATATTTCCCCGCCGCCCGATTTATTTAAAAATTGTTTGCGATTTTTGATAAAAGCCATTTTCATTTTAAAAAGGATGTACTAGAACATCCTGTATAATTTAGTAAAAATGCTTATGTGCATTAGATTTTTATTTTACAAATAATTTACTTTAATTAATAATTTTTATAAAAAGTATTTTAAGAGAGAGAATATATTACAATAACTCTCACAATATATATAATGTTATTGTATATACGTTTAAATATTGTGAATATCATTTAAATGTTGTACATGTCATTGATAAAAAATATATTAATTTTTTTGTGGAAAAATTTTTCTTTAAATCTTTTTATTATTAAATAATATATTTTCTATAGAAATTTACTAATGTAAATTATGTGTGTATATTATATTATATTATATATGTACACATAGATATAATCAGAAGCACCTGTATGAATGCAACCATAAATGCAATCACTTATGCAAATAAATATGCAGACAGCACATGTAATACATGCTTTCCACGTTATAAAATAAATAAGTGCTGATAAGAAGTGTTTTTAATAATTTCTAAATATATTTTCATTAATACATTCGATAAAGTTTATCTTTTACAAATCTCATGCAAGATTTACGTCCTATATCTCCACGCTTTCGTGATTTCTAATGATTAAAGAAGCTATCAAACAACATACATATTCTCGCATTAATTTATATGACTGATTAACATGTTCATGTATACGAAATCACATGCAATAAAAACATTCTTTGAAATTTAGTACAAGATATCTTGCGAATGCATCTGTAAATGCAATGCTTCTGAGAGTCGAAAGAGAGGGAAACAATATCCCGTGAGCGAGACGAAGAGCAAAGTGGCAGAGAGAGAAAAGCCGATTGTCGAGAGTATCACGAGACAGAGGAGGAAAAAGGAAGCCGTGGAATCCCGAGTGCACCTGGGCGCGGGAAACAGTACCCGCGAGATATCTTGGAGGAGGTCAGAAATTCTCCTGGTAGAGGTAGGCAGACCACTGCTCGCATTAAGACAGAAAGAGGGAGAGGAAAAGGAGAGAGCGAAAGAGATAGAAGGAGAAAGAAAGAGAGAGAGGAGAAGGAAGAGACCGCGTTCTCACCACGAAAGGAGGAACGCCAAGGTGTGGAGGAGGTGAAGAGAAGAGGAGCCGATCTCCTCGCGACGAGAGAGGCCCCGTCTCGAGAACGGAGGCTGCGGTTTGAAAGCCGAGGCCGCGGCGCCTCTCTCCGTTCGGTGCTGCTTCGACGTGTGCTCCAGAGTGCGTGCTCCACGGTATGTTAACAGTGCCGCGAGTCCGACCGACCGGTACCAGTCAGTTGTTCTCCAGCCGCGCGTTCGTCGCGAGTGCTTCGTCATTAACATCGCTCAGGTTCGTGTTAGGTGATCCGTCATAGTCATCAGGATTGGCTCCTCCCTGGACTAACCGGATGTTCCAATAATCCCGAAAACTTGCTCCGGAAAAGAGGAGGTACGTTGACACACATATGTAGAACTCGTGGGGGACAGGAATGCTCTTAAAAGTCGCGAAGGGGCTCTTAAGAAATGATTTCATCTTTTTAGATATTATGTTGTAGACTATTTGATCTTGTTTGGCAAGTGACGCGATTGTCATCGAATCTATCAATGCTCTTCGCGCTTTTTCGTTACCTTCGGCAATGATCGTGCCAGGTCGTGATTGTTTGAACAGATGCAGACGCTTCACGCGCCATTGGCTGGAGTTTAGAAGGTGCGACGAACCGTTTCTTTCGTTTTTTTCTTTTTTTTGCCGTCATTTTCGTGGATCCTTAACGCGAGTACTCATGCGCGACATGAGTTTGAAGGCAAACGCGCGCGTAAGCGAGTTTTAAGAGCACATGACGCATCGTAAGAAGGCGGTCCCTGTGACCGTACGATGATTCAATGCCAACACGATATACGCGAATCGTCGTACGTCCATTCATGGAAAGAGTAAAACGCAAGTCGCGAGTATTCCGTCTATTATAAATTCATATTTTTCATTTTAAAACGTAAAATGATATATATATTTTTTAATCATACGAGATACTTCAAATTCAATTTCCTCAAGTTCTTAAAAAGAGTTAAATTACGGATGTAATTTGATTAGACACTTTTAAATAATTAATGCATCAAATTAAATTTTTATTTGTTGTCATGACAAAATCAAAATTTCGTGTAAAAATTTATCTTTCTAAAAATATATTTATATTGATGTAAAAACACATCTATATTCATTTATATGTGGAATAAATTTCTCTCCTAGATTATAATTCAAATATATCTCTATTAAAATAATGAATAAATTTTCTGGATTATTTAATATTAACTAATTTCATATGGAAATTGGATTAAATTAGCATAGGTACGTCTCTGAATTTACATAATTATTATATAATTATCAGAAAAATTTTCAGAAAAACAGAATTATAAATTAGGGATGTAATTTCATTAGATATTTTGAAATTATTAATGTATCCAATTAAATTTTCATTTATTGTTATATAACAAATAATCAAAATTTCGTGTAAAAATTTATCTTTCTAAAAAATATATTTATATTTATGTATGGATACATCTACTCTTTATATTTGAAATAAATTTCTCTTCTAGATTATAATTCAAATATATTTCTATTAAAATAGTGAATAAATTTTCTGGATTATTTAATATTAACTAATTTCATATGGAAATTGGATTAAATGAGCATAGGTATGTCTCCGAATTTACATAATTATTATATAATTATCATATTTTCAGAAAAAAGAACTATAAATTAGGGATAGGTAATTTCGTTAGCTATTTTAAGATAATTAATGCACCGAATTAAATTTTCATTTGTTGTTATATAACAAATAATCAAAATTTCATGTAAAAATTTATTTTTCTAAAAAATATATTTATATTTATGTATGGATATATCTACTCTTTATATTTGAAATAAATTTCTCTTCTAGATTATAATTCAAATATATTTCTATTAAAATAGTGAATAAATTTTCTGGATTATTTAATATTAACTAATTTCATATGGAAATTGGATTAAATTAGCATGGGTGCGTTTCCAAATTTACACAATTATTATAATATAATTATCATATTTTTAGAAAAAAGAACTATAAATTATGGATCTAATTTGGTTAGACACTTTTAAATAATTAATGCATCAAATTAAATTTTTATTTGTTGTCATAACAAAATCAAAATTTCGTGTAAAAATTTATCTTTATAAAAAATATATTTATATTTACATAAAGATATATCTATACTCTTTATATTTGGAATAAATTTCTCTCCTAGATTATAATTCAAATATACGAGTATTTCTATTAAAATAGTGAATAAATTTTCTGGATTATTTAATATTAACTAATTTCATATGGAAATATTGGATTAAATTAGCATAAATGCGTCTCTAAATTTCCATAATTATATTTTCAGAAAAAAGAACTATAAATCATATTCTTAAAACTACGTAAAAAGCGGTCTCGCTTTAAATTTAAATTCCCAAACCAGAATCAACAGGAACTTTAAATGCCCGCACGCACATGAACAGTTAACAGTTTACTGTGTTACGAAATGAACGAAGATCAGAATGTCAACAGAATATATTTCCTTGTCTTTCAGAGCAGCGAGAAGAGATCAGTCATCGGAAAGACGAATTACGTCTCAGCATCCTCTCTTTGCCTCTCAGTGTCGGGCCTCGTGGATCCCGCGCCGATCTCTCTTTTACATCCGAGGCTCCGAACGAGAAGCAATCGTAGAGGACACGCCAGTTGCGGCAGGTCACGAAGAACGGGTTTGAAGATGGCCTACATTATTCGGACTTATCGGTAAAGGAGGACCCACTGGTCGCCGCATCAGCGACTTGGCTAGAAAAGGGAGAGGCTAGCTTTTAAAAGAAAAAAAAAGCAAAATGGGACAAGCATGGTGCAAAGAGAGGACCTCCAAGACCCAAGACTCCAAGTCTCCGTTGGATCGGGTTTTCTTAAGATGCGCTCATCGGGTATGTACGACGGAAACGCGTCGTTTTTACTTCTTGCTCAAGTATGTGTTTGCCGGCGATTGACCGCGTGGTTTATGGCCCACAACGCGCGAGTGATTCGCTAACAATTTCCTAGACGTATAAAACGTTATCTACGTAAATTGCCGATAAAATTGATGGATTTTTTTCAGTTTAAACCATCCGCTTCGTCTCTTTATTTTTCTCATTGGAGCTTTTGTGTTTAAAATATATGCGCTTCTTATATAATATTTATAAGACACACATATTTTTTACGCATAATAAAATAATCCTTTTAAAATTTGACATTTATTCCTTCGAAACCCCAAAACATAAATTATCAGTGAAACGAAGCTCCAAAATTTTTTAACTTTTAGTATTTTACAGGAAATAATTCGGCGACTCTTTCTAAAGATATAAATATTATCTATGTAAATATTGGAGAGAAAATTGATGAATATTTTTTTTCAGTTTAAATCATCCGTTTCGTTTTTTTATTTTACTAATTGAACTTTTTGTGTTTAAAATATACATATATATGCGGTTCTTATATACTATTTAGAAGACACACATATTTTTTACGTATAAATAATTCTTTAAAATTTGATATTTATTCCTTCGAAACCTCAAAACATAAATTATCAGTGAAATGAGGCTCCAAAATTTTTTAACTTTTAGTATTTTGCAGGAAAGAATCCGGCGATTCTTTCTAAACATATGAATATTATCTGCTTAAATATTGGCGATAAAATTGACGGATATTTTTTTCAGTTTAAATCATCCGCTTCGTCTTTTTATTCTACTAATTAGGATTTTTGTGTTTAAAATATCTATATGTGCTTCTTATATAATATTTAGAAAACATGCACATATTTTTCAGGTATAAATAATTCTTTAAAATTTGACATTATTCTTTCTGAAAATTATTCCTTCAAAACTTCTTTCTAAAACATAGATCATTAGTGAAACGAAACTCCAAAATTTTTTAACTTTTAGTATTTTGCAGAAAATAATTCGGCGACTTTTTCTAAACATATAAATATTATCTACGTAAATATTGGCGATAAAATTTGATAGATATAATATTTATAAGACATGTACATATTTTTCAAATATAAATAATCTTTTAAAATTTGATGTTTATTCTTTCAAACTAAAACAGACCATCAATGAAACGAAGGTCCAAATTTTTTTAGTTTTTAGTATTTTGCAAGAATTTAACTCTTTTTAAACATATAAACGTTATCTATGTAAATCTCGACGATAAAATTTGATGGATATTTTGTCAGTTTAAATCATTCACTTTATCCTTTTATTTTACTTGGATCTTGTGTGTCTAAAATATATACGCGCTTATTATATAATATTTATAAGACAGGCACATATTTCACATGCATAAATAAGCCTTTATAATTCGACGTTTATTCTCTCGGAACTAAAATATAGACATCATGAGCAAAGTGCAGTTCGAAAATCTTTTAATTTCTAGTATCAGATTTTGCAGGAAATAGTTCGGTGACTCTTGTACAATTTGTATGCGATGACTGTCGGCATTTATGACGCGTTACGAGAAACATGTGTTTGCCACATAATTTTGCACGATCATTACACTCGTCAGTCGTCCCTCTGTAGAAGCGATGAGAGACCGCGTATGAAAACATAAAAAAAGAACGTAGAAAAAGAGAATGTTGGTTTTCACATGCACTTGAAACGGATATGGAGATGTGTGTCCTCGTTATTACATAACGTATACAACACGCGCTCACACGTATGCACGATTGTATCTACGAACGCGTATCAGCTGTGCGTGTCAGGTTAATTTGGAATCTCAGATATGCGGATACGACTAGTACACGACTGCTGTAATGATACTGATTCCCTGCTTTTACCCGACAGGGCATGGTTACGCTAAATTACACAAAGAAACTTAATACACATAGATAGCTTCCTTAATGAAATGTTGACTCAAAGTTTACTTTACACACAACTTCCAAAAGATGATACGAAAGCTTAATGACTAGCGCAGAACAAGACGCAATTAATAAACTTATAATATATATTATTAATATATATTATTTCGCATTAACTATTAATATATATTATTTCACATAATAATTCATGCACGTTATTAAAAATTTATATAAATTTCACACGTTTTCAACTTCGTGCACCTTGTATATTCAGTATTTATTTCGACAATGTTTTTCGTTTCCATCCAAGGGCAAAGAGCAATATATTTCTCACGTTAAAAAGCGAGTGGTTCAATATGGTACAGATGTCCATCAATCAAGAAAGAAGGAGAGAGAAAGAGAGATATATGCAAACAAGTCGCGAATAAGCCAATTAGATACGATGCGATAAGTTTGGCGTTAAACGAGAAAACACGTGACGCGTGTCAAGGATTTCTTATGCAAGAACGGGAAGAAAAAACCAAGAGTCTCGCTGGAGGTCCCTTCTTATAGTTTTCACTTTATTCTAATATCGGAAAAATGATTCGCTAGAAAATTGCCGGCCTTCGCCGCAAAATGAGAACGAGAAAAATGCTCGTAATGCAAATGCAAGTATTATACCGCGAACGCTCTCGTCCTCTTTCTGCGCAAATATGTATTTCCGCGACATGAATTTTTTATACAATTTTTTTAATTAATTGCTCGAGAATAATTACTGATAAATATGTCGTGTACAGTATAAGTATTACGTTGTATCGGTTTAATAATCGCGATTGCTTACACTTTCGCTAATACAGGGTGTCCCAGATTTAACGAATCAGCCGTTAATGGTAAATTCCTGAGATCATTTAGAAACGAAAATCTTAATACTAAAATGTTGAAGAAGATGTAGTTTTGGCGCTATAAAAGATTAAAGATTACCAATCGGCACGTTACGTTCCCTGTAGCGTATCAAGGAGCCTGCATACAGCGCGATAATATCGATATCGATAAAGGGATCAATATAAAATAAAAAATATGATTCTGCAGACAGCGCGATTGTTTTCCAATAGTCAGTAGTTTGAACATTTTTATGAAGTCTTCCTCGACATTTTAGAATTTTCATCTCCAAATGATCTCAGGAATCTGCTATTAACGGCTGATTCGTTAAGTCTGGGACACCCTGTATATGTATTCTTTTCCTAAAACGCCATTACTTTCGCCCACTCGGTATCATTATTGTCGATTAACAAACAATTGCATTGTTTGCACTACCACCGAAGTCAAATCGCGGATCATCGAAGTATTTTTAGACCCGATTAAATTGTTCTCTCGCAGTAGGTCGCGCGAAAACGCATATTATTCATCCGGTACTCCTCGTCGCGTGTTGCATTTCAAACTCACGTCGTGTGTATCTACGCCGTACCTCACACGCTAAAATCCGAACTGATATAATATCTGTATTTGCGCAATCGTGTTGTTCCTACAACGTACACACGAATTTCAATCGAGATCTATATAGGGTGTCTACTCAAATCTTGTAAAAAAATTCTCTGATCTTCCAGAATATTTTTATTTAAAATTCGAGGTAGAAAGAATATTAAAAAATTTTTTTTCATACAACTTTTTTAAATAAATTTTTCATTTTATGCGTTTTTTAATATTATCTTTCTCATATGATGGAAAATCATGGAGACTCTTAAATTTCAAGTGCTAAATTTGTAAACGTATTGAAAAAATTGAGTAGCTTTCCCTAAAAGATAAGCATTTTTCATATAATATTTTCATTTTTATTACTAAAAATTACAATAAAAAATATGTACTACATATTTAATATTTTATTAATACTTCAAATATATAGACACAGATATATATATATATATATACATATATTTATAACACATTTTAAATACATGTAATTCGCTTGGCTTGCTGGCTAATGAGAGCAAAATTATCAAAGAGAGAATTTTTTAAAAAGTTCTCTGAATCCCAATAAAATTTCATGAGAATTTTCTGATTTTTCCAAATACAAAAAATTCCTGAGAATTCCACATTTCCCATGTTTTTTCCAGGAAATAGATACCTTGCTGTAAATCAGAATTGAAACTGATATAATACAAAAAAATTCTTTTTACGCTCTTTTTGCAATCATCTACCTGTAAAAATCTGTAAAAACCTGGATGGCATCGATTCATTCAAATGTATAATACTGTAATAAGGTGTTGTTTCTCTGTTGCTTTTTTCAATCTCTTATCTTTATCGAGAGCAGGTTAAGATTACTGTGGAAATACGATTGTTGACTGTTCCACAATGGGGAGATCCAATCTTAATTCTCGTCCTTGTCACCTTATCGCACTCGGCATTTTACCTTACGGGCATGACGGTTAAAAAATGTATTTTGCTGATTCATATACACGTACATGTGTATTCGGAGAATAATGGCTAATCTTGAATGCTAAAATAAGAGAAAAAAAGACATACGCTATATTCCACAACTTAATATTCTACGAAGAGATATTTTAAAACCTGAAGCAGTGTGTGTGAAATTATAATCCTCGGATTGTATTATATATGTATTATATATGTATATGTTTTTTTATTAAATATTTTTTATACATTTAATATTTTAAAAAATATTTTCTTCGAAAATTCTTTAAGAGATTTGAAAAAATTATTTTACACCTGCATTAATTAGACGTCTAGTAGATTCAATCAGGATATCTGTTGGAAAATGGACAAATCAGAATTATTCCAAATAACCAGATGAATATGATTAATTTTTTCTTGTTAAATTTACCAAATTTTCTTGATAATATAATATTAAATTTAAAGAAAATTTTAAGAAAAATGGCATCACTATATCTATGTTTAGTTAATATAATAAGAAATTTTATAGATCCAACTAGAAAATATTAATAAAATCCTTATAGTAAGTCTATTAAATGTTCTAGTTATAAAAAATCGAGTCTTATCGTTAACTAGAAATTCTGCTTGAATTTGATTTACCAAAAATGCCTTCTATCAAATATATCTACAAACAAACGATTTTTCTCAGCGTACATTTTTAAAGGACAA